ACAGCCATCGACTTCACGTCTACTGAAACTACTGTTCCTACAACTTCTACTGTGGTAACAACTACTGAAACACAGCCATCGACTTCTGAAACTACTGAGAGTACTACTGTGACTGTTCCTCCAACTTCTACTGTGGTAACAACTAGTGAGGCAAAGCCAACGTCTACTGAAACTACTGTTCCTACAACTTCTACTGTGGTAACAACTACTGAAACACAGCCATCGACTTCTGAAACTACTGAGAGTACTACTGTGACTGTTCCTCCAACTTCTACTGTGGTAACAACTAGTGAGGCAAAGCCAACGTCTACTGAAACTACTGTTCCTACAACTTCTACTGTGGTAACAACTACTGAAACACAGCCATCGACTTCTGAAACTACTGAGAGTACTACTGTGACTGTGCCTCCAACTTCTACTGTGGTAACGACTACTGAGACACAGCCATCGACTTCTGAAACTACTGAGAGTACTACTGTGACTGTGCCTCCAACTTCTACTGTGGTAACGACTACTGAGACACAGGCAGTGCCTGCCGAAACAACTGAGAGAACTACTGTGATTGTTCCTACAACTTCACTTGTGGTAACGACTACTGAGACACAGGCAGCGTCTACCGAAACTACTGAGAGTACTACTGTGACTGTACCTCCAACTTCCACTGTGGTAACAACTACTGAAACACTGGCAGCGTCTACCGAAACTACTCAGAGTACTACTGTGACTGTTCCTAGATCTTCTACTGTGGTAACAACTACTGAGACACAGCCATCGACTTCTGAAACTACTGAGAGTACTACTGTGACTGTTCCTCCAACTTCTACTGTGGTAACAACTAGTGAGGCAAAGCCAACGTCTACTGAAACTACTGTTCCTACAACTTCTACTGTGGTAACAACTACTGAAACACAGCCATCGACTTCTGAAACTACTGAGAGTACTACTGTGACTGTTCCTACAACTTCTACTGTGGCAACCACTAGTGAATCACAAGCATCATCTACTGAAACTACTGAGAGTACTACTGTGACTGTTCCTACAACTTCTACTGTGGCAACGAGTATTGAGACACAGCCATCGACTTCTGAAACTACTGAGAGAACTACTGTGACTGTGCCTACAACTTCTACTGTTGCAACAACTACTGAGACACAGACTGTGCCTACCGAAACAACTCAGAGTACTACTGTGACTGTTCCTACAACTTCTACTGTGGCAACAACTACTGAAACACAGACTGTGCCTATCGAAACTACTAAGAGTACTACTGTGACTGTTCCAAAAACTTCTACTTTGGCAACAACTACTGAGACACAGCCTATGCCTATCGAAACTACTAAGAGTACTACTGTGACTGTTCCAAAAACTTCTACTTTGGCAACAACTACTGAGACACAGCCTATGCCTATCGAAACTACTAAGAGTACTACTGTGACTGTTCCAAAAACTTCTACTTTGGCAACAACTACTGAGACACAGCCTATGCCTATCGAAACTACTAAGAGTACTACTGTGACTGTTCCAAAAACTTCTACTTTGGCAACAACTACTGAGACACAGCCTATGCCTATCGAAACTACTAAGAGTACTACTGTGACTGTTCCAAAAACTTCTACTTTGGCAACAACTACTGAGACACAGCCTATGCCTATCGAAACTACTAAGAGTACTACTGTGACTGTTCCAAAAACTTCTACTTTGGCAACAACTACTGAGACACAGCCTATGCCTATCGAAACTACTAAGAGTACTACTGTGACTGTTCCAAAAACTTCTACTTTGGCAACAACTACTGAGACACAGCCTATGCCTATCGAAACTACTAAGAGTACTACTGTGACTGTTCCAAAAACTTCTACTTTGGCAACAACTACTGAGACACAGCCTATGCCTATCGAAACTACTAAGAGTACTACTGTGACTGTTCCAAAAACTTCTACTTTGGCAACAACTACTGAGACACAGCCTATGCCTATCGAAACTACTAAGAGTACTACTGTGACTGTTCCTACCACTTCTACTGTGGCACCGACAACTGAGACACAGCCATCGACTTCTGAAACTAAGAAGAGTACGACTGTCATTGTTCCTACAACTTCTTCTGTGGCAACGACTACCGAGACACAGCCTGTGGCTACCGAAACTACTGAGAGAACTACCAAGAGTACGACTGTGACTGTTCCTACAACTTCCACTGCGGTGACGACTACTAAGACGCAGGCACCACCTACCGTAACTGCTGAGAGTACTACTCCGACTGTTACTGCAACTTCTACTATCGTAACCACTACTGAAACACAAGCAGCGCCTACCGAAACTGCTGAGAGTACTACTCTGACTGTTCCTACAACTTTTACTGTGCTAACGATAACTGAGACACAGTCTGTGCCTGCCGAAACTACTGAGAGAACTACTGAGAGTACAACCGTGACTGTTCCTACAACTTCGACTATGGTGACCACTACTGAGACACAGCCATCGACTTCTGAAACTACTGAGAGTACTACTGTGAATCTTCCTGCAACTTCTACTGTGGTAGCCACTACTGAAACACAGGCAGCATCTACTAAAACTACTGAGAGTACTACTGTAACTGTGATTCCTGAATCGACAGAAACCATGGAATCAACTAAAACCACAGAATTACCCGAAATTGCAGGATCAAAAGGAATCACGGAATCAACAGGAGTCACGGGATCAACAGGAATCACAGAACCAATAGGAATCACAGAGACAACAGGAATTACGGGATCAACACAACCGATATTTATTATAACCAAATTTCCTGTATATAGTACACAGGAGGCGACAAAAACCATGGAATCAACTAAAACCACGGAGTTAATCGAAATCACAGAATCAATAGGAATGAAGGGATCAACAGAAATCACGGAATCAACAGGAATCACGGGATCAACAGGAATCACGGAATCAATACAAATCACAGAATCAACAAGAGTCACGGAATCAACTAAGACCACAGAATCAACAGGAATCACAGAGTCAACAGGAATCGCGGGGTCAACAGGAATCACGGAATCAACAGAAATTACGGAATCAACCGAAATCACGGAATCAACAGAAACCATAGAATCAACTAAAACCACAGAATCAACAAAAATCACAGAATCGACAGTAAAACCACGGAATCAACCAAAATTACGGAATCAACAGGATTCACAGAAGCAACCGGAATCACGGGTTCAACAGGAATCACGGGACCAACACAACCAATAATTATTATAACCAGATTTCCTATATATAGTACCCAGAAGGCGAGAGAAACCATGAAATCAACTAAAACCACCGAATTAACCGAGGTCACAGAATCAACAGGAATCACGGGATCAACAGAAATCACGGGATCAACAGGATTCACGGAATCGACAGGAATCACGGAATCAATGGGAACCATGGAATCAACAGGAATCACGGGATCAACAGGAATCACGGAATCAACAGGAATCACGGAATCAACAGAAATCACGGAATCAACAGAAACCATTGAATCAACTAAAACCACAGAATCAACAAAAATCACAGAATCAACAGGAATGAAGGGATCAACAAGAATGAAGGGATCAACAGGAATCACGGAATCAACAGGAATCACGGGATCAACAGGAATCACGGAATCAACAGGAATCACAGAATCAACAGGAATCACGGGATCAACAGAAATCACGGGATCAACAGGATTCACGGAATCGACAGGAATCACGGAATCAACGGGAACCATGGAATCAACTAAAACCACGGAATCAACAAAAATTACGGAATCAACAGAAATCACCGGATCAACAGGAATCACGGGATCAACGGGATCCACGGAATCAACTGAAACCATGGAATCAACTAAAACCACGGAATCAACCAAAATTACGGAATCAACAGGATTCACAGAAGCAACCGGAATCACGGGTTCAACAGGAATCACGGGACCAACACAACCAATAATTATTATAACCAGATTTCCTATATATAGTACCCAGAAGGCGAGAGAAACCATGAAATCAACTAAAACCACCGAATTAACCGAGGTCACAGAATCAACAGGAATCACGGGGGAATTACGGGATCAATAGAAATCACGGGATCAACAGAAATCACGGGGTCAACAGGATTCACGGAATCAACGGGAACCATGGAATCAACTAAAACCACAGAGTCAACAGGAATCACAAGATCAACAGGAATCACGGAATCAACAGGAACCATTGAATCAACTAAAACCTCGGAATCAACCAAAATCACAGAATCAACAGGAATCACGGGATCAACAGAAATCACGGGATCAACAGGATTCACGGAATCGACAGGAATCACGGAATCAATAGAAATCACGGAATCAACAGAAACCATTGAATCAACTAAAACCACAGAATCAACAAAAATCACAGAATCAACAGGAATGAAGGGATCAACAAGAATGAAGGGATCAACAGGAATCACGGAATCAACAGGAATCACGGGATCAACAGGAATCACGGAATCAACAGGAATCACAGAATCAACAGGAATCACGGGATCAACAGAAATCACGGGATCAACAGGATTCACGGAATCGACAGGAATCACGGAATCAACGGGAACCATGGAATCAACTAAAACCACGGAATCAACCAAAATTACAGAATCAACAGGAATCGCGGAATCAACAGGAACCATTGAATCAACGAAACCCTCGGAATCAATCAAAATCACAGAATCAATAGGATTCACAGAATCAATAGGAATTACGGGATCAATAGAAATCACGGGATCAACAGAAATCACGGGATCAACAGGAATCACGGAATCAACAGGAATCACGGGATCAACAGGAATCACGGAATCAACGGGAACCATGGAATCAACTAAAACCACGGAATCAACCAAAATTACAGAATCAACAGGAATCGCGGAATCAACAGGAACCATTGAATCAACTAAAACCTCGGAATCAACCAAAATCACAGAATCAACAGGAATCACGGGATCAACAGGAATCACGGAATCAACGGGAACCATGGAATCAACTAAAACCACGGAATCAACCAAAATTACAGAATCAACAGGAATCGCGGAATCAACAGGAACCATTGAATCAACTAAAACCTCGGAATCAACCAAAATCACAGAATCAACAGGAATCACGGGATCAACAGGAATCACGGAATCAACGGGAACCATGGAATCAACTAAAACCACGGAATCAACCAAAATTACAGAATCAACAGGAATCGCGGAATCAACAGGAACCATTGAATCAACTAAAACCTCGGAATCAACCAAAATCACAGAATCAACAGGAATCACGGGATCAACAGGAATCACGGAATCAACGGGAACCATGGAATCAACTAAAACCACGGAATCAACCAAAATTACAGAATCAACAGGAATCGCGGAATCAACAGGAACCATTGAATCAACTAAAACCTCGGAATCAACCAAAATCACAGAATCAACAGGAATCACGGGATCAACAGGAATCACGGAATCAACGGGAACCATGGAATCAACTAAAACCACGGAATCAACCAAAATTACAGAATCAACAGGAATCGCGGAATCAACAGGAACCATTGAATCAACTAAAACCTCGGAATCAACCAAAATCACAGAATCAACAGGAATCACGGGATCAACAGGAATCACGGAATCAACGGGAACCATGGAATCAACTAAAACCACGGAATCAACCAAAATTACAGAATCAACAGGAATCGCGGAATCAACAGGAACCATTGAATCAACTAAAACCTCGGAATCAACCAAAATCACAGAATCAACAGGAATCACGGGATCAACAGGAATCACGGAATCAACGGGAACCATGGAATCAACTAAAACCACGGAATCAACCAAAATTACAGAATCAACAGGAATCGCGGAATCAACAGGAACCATTGAATCAACTAAAACCTCGGAATCAACCAAAATCACAGAATCAACAGGAATCACGGGATCAACAGGAATCACGGAATCAACGGGAACCATGGAATCAACTAAAACCACGGAATCAACCAAAATTACAGAATCAACAGGAATCGCGGAATCAACAGGAACCATTGAATCAACTAAAACCTCGGAATCAACCAAAATCACAGAATCAACAGGAATCACGGGATCAACAGGAATCACGGAATCAACGGGAACCATGGAATCAACTAAAACCACGGAATCAACCAAAATTACAGAATCAACAGGAATCGCGGAATCAACAGGAACCATTGAATCAACTAAAACCTCGGAATCAACCAAAATCACAGAATCAACAGGAATCACGGGATCAACAGGAATCACGGAATCAACGGGAACCATGGAATCAACTAAAACCACGGAATCAACCAAAATTACAGAATCAACAGGAATCGCGGAATCAACAGGAACCATTGAATCAACTAAAACCTCGGAATCAACCAAAATCACAGAATCAACAGGAATCACGGGATCAACAGGAATCACGGAATCAACGGGAACCATGGAATCAACTAAAACCACGGAATCAACCAAAATTACAGAATCAACAGGAATCGCGGAATCAACAGGAACCATTGAATCAACTAAAACCTCGGAATCAACCAAAATCACAGAATCAACAGGAATCACGGGATCAACAGGAATCACGGAATCAACGGGAACCATGGAATCAACTAAAACCACGGAATCAACCAAAATTACAGAATCAACAGGAATCGCGGAATCAACAGGAACCATTGAATCAACTAAAACCTCGGAATCAACCAAAATCACAGAATCAACAGGAATCACGGGATCAACAGGAATCACGGAATCAACGGGAACCATGGAATCAACTAAAACCACGGAATCAACCAAAATTACAGAATCAACAGGAATCGCGGAATCAACAGGAACCATTGAATCAACTAAAACCTCGGAATCAACCAAAATCACAGAATCAACAGGAATCACGGGATCAACAGGAATCACGGAATCAACGGGAACCATGGAATCAACTAAAACCACGGAATCAACCAAAATTACAGAATCAACAGGAATCGCGGAATCAACAGGAACCATTGAATCAACTAAAACCTCGGAATCAACCAAAATCACAGAATCAACAGGAATCACGGGATCAACAGGAATCACGGAATCAACGGGAACCATGGAATCAACTAAAACCACGGAATCAACCAAAATTACAGAATCAACAGGAATCGCGGAATCAACAGGAACCATTGAATCAACTAAAACCTCGGAATCAACCAAAATCACAGAATCAACAGGAATCACGGGATCAACAGGAATCACGGAATCAACGGGAACCATGGAATCAACTAAAACCACGGAATCAACCAAAATTACAGAATCAACAGGAATCGCGGAATCAACAGGAACCATTGAATCAACTAAAACCTCGGAATCAACCAAAATCACAGAATCAACAGGAATCACGGGATCAACAGGAATCACGGAATCAACAGGAATCACGGGATCAACAACAATGACGGAATCAACAGGAATCAATGAATCAACAAGAATGACGGGATCAACAGGAATCACAGAATCAATAGGAATTACGAAATCAACACGAACCATGGAATCAACTAAAACCAGGGAATTAACAGAAATTACAGAAACCATAGAATCAACAGAAGCTATAGAATCAACTAAAACTAGGGAATCAACAGAAATTATGAAATCAACAGAAATCACAGAGTCAACAGGAATCACAGAATCAACAGGGACCAAGGAATTAACAGGAACCAAAGAATTAACAGGAACCATGAAATCAACAGAACCGATAATTATAATAACCAGATTGCCTATAGGTAGTATAACGGAGTCAACAGGAACCACAAAATCAACTGAAGGCATTTCGACTATTACTACTTCAGTATTTCCTGAAAATATTACTGCAATAACAGAACGGTCAGATACCACAGCAACGATTACTGTACTTTCATCAAGCAGTACATCACCAATGACAGAAAGCACAGAATTTACAGAATCAACATCTACAATTTCTTTCAAAACAGTGGAAGCAGAATCTTCTACTGCAGAACTCAAAACCAAAGGAACTCTTACTATGACAGGTTTAGAGATAACCAAAGGAAAGTCTTCAACTCTGGAAACAACGAGTTCAATTTTGTTGTACAGTACAACTACTCCATTAACATATGTCGAAACGATCACATTATTTGATGAGATTCCTGAGATTACTGTATTCACAGAAGAAAATATGTTCACTACGATCTCTCCAGAAACCACAGAGGGAAAAACTTCAACAATAGAAACTACAACTATAAGTACAGTTTCGTTAGAAAGTACAACAGCTCAACCCAATTCTATAGAATCGACCACATTACCTCCTACTATTCCTGAGACAATAACGACAGAGTCCACCTCAGAAGAAATATTAATGCCATCTTCAGGCACAACAGAAGAGAAATCTTCAACCATAGAAATTATGACGGAAAGTCATATATTGGAGAGTACAACCAATGGATTTATTTCAGTTGAAATGACAACGTTACCTGTTATGACCTCTCAGGCAGCAATAACAGAGTCTACAACAGTAGAAGTAACAGAAGCAGCTACAGCTCGCCCGGAAATCAATATGAGGGAATCCAGTTCGGTGGAAAGTGAAACAGCATCTGAAATTTTGTCGGAAATTACTGAATTTGCTACAGAACCGTTAGAAATAGCCAGATTAACGATGAGTACTCCAGAGAGTACTGGTACAAAATCCATGTCATTCGAGACAACACTAACAACAATGACGGCACAACAGGGCATCACTCCAAAATCAACATCGGCAGAATCTACTGGACAAGTTACTACTGCAGAAATTACGACTCAAGAACTCCCGGAAAGAACATCTAAACCGCAAGAAATGACAACTTCTACAGTTTCTGGAATTTCTACGTCTATCAGTGAGCAATCAGAAACAGCAACAACAACAATCTTTTCCACTCTTGCACAAGTGTCGCCTGAGCAAGTTGCAAGTACAGCCATTGTAGGAATTGAAACCACGTCTGTACTGGAAATTTCTGCTGCTACAATTAATCTCAGTATAGCGAGTACAACAACATTAGCCAAATTAGAAGAAATTACAACCACTGGAATAACACTTACGAATGAGCCAACAGAAACCACGATGGCGCTAAAAAAAAGTATAGCTACTAGCGAAGCATCTACACTGTCCACTCTTACAGGTATCGAAACTACAACGACAGAAGCTAAAACTACGTTCACTGCTCAAGAACCTAGTATCAGTACTGAAAAGACATTAGAAACGAAGGAAAGTACTATATTCACAGCGAGCACGTTCGAAACAACTGAAGCTGAAATAACATCGATTTCTGTCCCTACACTTTCGTACACTAGTGTCAGTACAGAAGGTTCGACAAGAAAAGTTATTGTAGAAATAGCTGAAGAAACAACTGCAAATGAAAAGATTTCATCAGAACCTGAAATCTTATGTACGAGTCAAAACACAGCTACCGAAAAATCTACTGTGATGGTAGAAGTAGAAAGCACTGCTGCCTCTGGAACGCAACACACCGGCGCTGCTACTTCAATTGCTGAGATTACTGAAAAATCAATTGTATCTTCCACAATGGTAGAATCTAGTAGTATAATGGAGGAACTTTTTCCTACATTAAATACCACGGGTGCTATTATAACTTTATCAACTGCAAAAGCTGAGATCGGAACAGAGGCACTTGCTTCTACATTAGGTAGGACCAATACTACTGCCAATTCACAAAGTACAGAAACTACAATCACAGTAAAAGACCTTATACCTACAACAAGCACGACGAGTACTATTGTAACAACTTCAATAACTGAAGAAATTACGACGACAATGGAAGAACTTGTTCCCATAGTAAGTTTGACAAGTACTGGTGAAAGTTCAGCAACTACCGAAGTTACAACCATAATAGAAGGAATTGTTCCTACGTTAAGTTTGACAGGTAGTACTACAGCTTCAACGAGTGTTGATACTACTGTCATAACAGAAGAACTTGTTCCTATATTAAGTACGGCAAATACAACTACAATAACGTCAAAAACAACAGAAACTACGACCATAAATGAAGAACTTATTCCTACATTAGATACTGCTGGTAGTACTTCAAGTTCAAGAAATGTTGAACAAACAACTGCAATGGAAGAATTGGTTCCTACATTAAGCATAGCGAGTACTAATAAGGTGACAAAAGAAGAAACATTAAATACTGTGTCCAATGTTATTGGAACTACAGCAATTAGTACAACAGCAAAAACAGAAGGTTCCAGTGTCTTCGATACTAAAACACTTTCAAACTTTACAACTTCATTTATGGAAGAAACTTCTGTGATAACTGTGGAAGAAGTTGAACAACCTTTAAGTACTTCTAGCAAGGAAGGCATAATTGAAGAGGAAAGTACCGTGAAGGAAACGTCAACTGGATCCAGCATTTTTAAAATAAGTAGCCCTCTTTCTGACGTTACTTCCATGATTTTTGAAACAGAATTACAATCGGAGAGTACTACAGTAAAGGTTTTGCATACCTCATTTACAACATTAGTTCCTTCAACACCGACAGCAACTGTCAGTAGTGCTACTGAGGAGTATGGAGAACCTGTTGTTGAAGAGTACGAAGAACCTGCTACTGAAGAATATGAAGAATCTGTTACTGAAGTTGATGAGGAGTACACAGAACCCGAAACAGAAAATGAATATGAAGAAGAGTATAACGAAAACGACAAAGAGTCTGGGATATCTACTGCTGATTATTTCGAGTATGATAAAGGGCTAACTAACACATGGAAACCTGCAACAATTCCAATACCCATGTTTACCAGTCCAACGATTTCCGAATCTGAAGTGAAATCTAATCCGTCAATATCTTCAAAAACTACTTCAATAAAAGCTACAACTGAATCTTTAGCTACTGGAACTAGCGAAGAAGTAAGAACCGCCATGGTCAAGACGAAAATACCCATTTTAGAAAGTGAAACAACAACTACACCGACAACAGCAACATTGGAACCTACGGAGGAGACGTCAACGTCTTTTGTAAAATCTGAAAAGACTGCTATGACAGCATCCTCACAAGAAGAGGAGCTAGAAGTAACAGAAACACTTTCGAAGCTTGGTACAAGAACAACGGAAGAAAAAACTCTTGGCTCGACTATTGAGAAATTCATTATAACGACAGAATCACTGCCAATTGAACTGGAACCTGATGACATAACAACCAAAAAGTACAAATTTAAATCCACAATGGCACCAACAACGGAATTATTCCCGGAAATAACACTTCCAAAATTTTTAACAAGACCAGACGAACACGGTGTAAACCCGCAGAAGCCTTTGACTTCTTCGACAACTATTAACAATTTCAGCACAACTGAGAAGTCTCATGAGCTAACTGAGAGTATAACAACAATTGAAAGTATTTCCACAACAGTATCGGAAGCAGAAGACACTATTCCTGAAACTACTTCCACAGTAGTGTCGGAAGCAGAAGGCACTATTTCTGGAACTACTTCCACAGCAGTGTTGGAAGAAAAAAGCACTATTTCTGAAAGTACTTCCACAGCAGTGTCAGAAGCAGAAGGCACTATTTCTGGAACTACTTCCACATCAGTGTCGGAAGAAAAAAGCACTATTTCTGAAAGTACTTCCACAGCAGTGTCGGAAGCTGAAGCCACTATTTCTGAAAGTACTTCCACAGCAGTGTCAGAAGCAGAAGGCACTATTTCTGGAACTACTTCCACATCAGTGTCGGAAGAAAGAAGCACTATTTCTGAAAGTACTTCCACAGCAGTGTCGGAAGAAAAAAGCACTATTTCTGGAACTACTTCCACATCAGTGTCGGAAGAAAGAAGCACTATTTCTGAAAGTACTTCCACAGCAGTGTCGGAAGCAGAAGGCACTATTTCTGGAACTACTTCCACATCAGTGTCGGAAGAAAGAAGCACTATTTTTAAAAGTACTTCCACAGCAGTATCGGAAGAGAAAAGCACTATTTCTGGAACTACTTCCACAGCAGTGTCGGAAGCAGAAGCCACTATTTCTGGAACTACTTCCACAGCAATGTCGGAAGAAAGAAGCACTATTTCTGGAACTACTTCCACAGCAGTGTCGGAAGAAAAAAGCACTATTTCTGGAACTACTTCCACATCAGTGTCGGAAGAAAGAAGCACTATTTCTGAAAGTACTTCCACAGCAGTGTCGGAAGAAAGAAGCACTATTTCTGGAACTACTTCCACATCAGTGTCGGAAGAAAGAAGCACTATTTCTGAAAGTACTTCCACAGCAGTGTCGGAAGAAAGAAGCACTATTTCTGGAACTACTTCCACATCAGTGTCGGAAGAAAGAAGCACTATTTCTGAAAGTACTTCCACAGCAGTGTCGGAAGAAAGAAGCACTATTTCTGGAACTACTTCCACATCAGTGTCGGAAGAAAGAAGCACTATTTCTGAAAGTACTTCCACAGCAGTGTCGGAAGAAAGAAGCACTATTTCTGGAACTACTTCCACAGCAGTGTCGGAAGCAGAAGCCACTATTTCTGGAACTACTTCAACAGCAGTGTCGGAAGAAAGAAGCACTATTTCTGGAACTACTTCCACAGCAGTGTCGGAAGAAAAAAGCACTATTTCTGGAACTACTTCCACATCAGTGTCGGAAGAAAGAAGCACTATTTCTGGAACTACTTCCACAGCAGTGTCGGAAGAAAAAAGCACTATTTTTGGAACTACTTCCACAGCAATGTCGGAAGCTGAAGGCACTATTTCTGAAAATACTTTCACAGCAATGTCGGAAGCAAAAAGCACTATTTCTGAAAGTACTTCAACTGTAGATATAGGAGTAAAACAGGAAACAATTACAATGGTACAAATGGAAACGTCACCAACTGCAAGTGTGATGTATACTACAGTATCGGAAGTTCAAACTACAGCGAGAGAGAATCTTGGTACAACAACAAAGAAAGTCTTGACCGAAGATGAACTGTCTCATAAAAAGGAAGAATTAGATGAAAGAAAGGAAGAACAGGAAAACAAGGCCGACGAACTAGAGGAGAAGAAAAAAGATTTGGAAGAACGGGAAAAAGACTTGGAGGACAGAGAACGAGAGGAGAAGAAAGAGGAGGAGGAGTGGAAAAAAGAAAAAGAACGATTAGAAACAGCAACAACAACAACCACTACTATAATTTCTACAACAAGTACTTTGGCAACAACCACGGAAGATCAAATGAAAAGACAAGAGCTAGAAGATGAGGAAAGCAGGCAGAACCAGTTGGATAAAGAATTTGATAAAATGAAGAAAGAGCTGGACGATAAAGAGAAGGAACTGGAAAATAAAGAAAATCATTTAGATGAGAAATCAGATGAAATAGAGAAGGAAAAAGAGGAGTTTGACGAAGAGCAGAAAAGACGAAAGGAAGAAGAAACGGAATTGCAAGAGAAGGAGGAGAAAAAAGAAGAAGAAGAATTGGAACAGGAGTCGGAAACAAAGACAACAACAATCATATCAACTGTTACAACCACTACTATATCAATAGACACTACAACTATGATTCCATTAATTGAATCTACTCAACACACTCCTCAACCGCCCACAGAAGAAAGTTCAATTGAATCGTTGGATCATACCAAGAAAACGACCTATCATACAACTGACGATGATTCATATGGACAATACGTGTATGATGAAAATGAAGATACTTGGAAGGAACAGAAAACAACCGAGCGAGAATCAAGCGAACCAGAAAAAGAAGAGGACAAAAAAGAGAACAAAGAGATTGAAGTGGTCACAAAGAGGGTTTGCTTGAATGTTCTTAAAAATGGAACCTTACCTGATTCCTTGAATAAGAAAAAATACGCTACAAAGGTGATCTGCTTGCCTCACCTTGGAAAGCCAAGAAAAAATCGTTCACCTCCTGGCAGACTGGTAAGAAATATCTTGAATTTTAATACTGAGAAATTCAGCAGTGCCGCGGAAGGTAGCAAAGAGAAAATTGAAAAAAGGAGCGACGAGATGATTACGAAAATTGATACATTGGAACTCAAGAATCATGAGTGGATTGATAACGAATCAACACCAAAGTTACGTCATTACAAAGGTTTTACACGGATATATGAAAGGTGGACGAAAGTGCCATACGTGCCAGTAACTTATTCGAAGAAACACGAATCAAAAATTATACCATTCCCCGTGCAAGATGAAACTTTTATGCATAAGCAATTTTTTTTGAACGAGGAAGATCAACGGGTCCAGCCTACTCAGGTGAACAGATTGCATGATTACGAGTGGACGGAAAGTATGAAAAGTAAATCTGACACTACTGAAGTCGATGACAAAATGAAGAGAAGTTACGGCGAGAAAGTTAAAGAGCGCGAGGGTGACAGTGAGAATAAAGATGACAGTTTGGAGTACGAAGAGAATTGTCAGGTCCGCTTGCAAAATAAGTTAGGACATGGAGAAACGATTAATCCTGTTGGTTCAAATAATATTCCAACTCCGTGTCCTCCTGTCGAATGCGAAAATTTGAAGAAGAACGAGGAAGATAAAGATGAGGAATACGAGGAGAATGAGGAAGAACCTGAGTCCAATACGAAAGGAAACAAATGGGAAAATCAAGAAGTAAAAGAGAACGAGGAAACAGATGAATTGATGACAACTCGTGAGGACGATGTAACATCTGAAGAAAATAGCAAAGAGACGGACGAGGAAGAAGAAAGAAAGGAGGAACTGGAAGAGAAGTTAGAGATAGGGAATAAAGAGATAAAGGAGAAAATGAAAGATGAAAACAAGAAGCTAGAACAGAAATCGAAAGAGGAAGAGAACAGAGAGGAGGAAGAGAATTCTGAAGAAGAAGAGAATAAAGAACCGGAAGTAAAGTCAAATGAAGAAAAGGAAAATAGAGAGTCAGAAGAAAAATTGAAAGATCAAGAAGAAGACAGAGAGCCGGAACAGACAACGACTCGAAATAAAGATAAAGACCTGGAAGAGAAATCAAAAGATGAAGATAACGAGGAAGAAGAGAAATCAAAAGATGAAGATAACGAAAAAGAAGAGAAATCAAAAGGTGAAGATAATGAGAAAGAAGACAAATCAAAAGATGAAGATAACGAGAAAGAAGAGAAATCAAAAGGTGAAGATAACGAGAAAGAAGAGAAATCAAAAGGTGAAGATAACGAGAAAGAAGAGAAATCAAAAGGTGAAGATAACGAGAAAGAAGAGAAATCAAAAGGTGAAGATAACGAGAAAGAAGAGAAATCAAAAGGTGAAGATAACGAGAAAGAAGAGAAATCAAAAGGTGAAGATAACGAGAAAGAAGAGAAATCAAAAGGTGAAGATAACGAGAAAGAAGAGAAATCAAAAGGTGAAGATAACGAGAAAGAAGAGAAATCAAAAGGTGAAGATAACGAGAAAGAAGAGAAATCAAAAGGTGAAGATAACGAGAAAGAAGAGAAATCAAAAGGTGAAGATAACGAGAAAGAAGAGAAATCAAAAGGTGAAGATAACGAGAAAGAAGAGAAATCAAAAGGTGAAGATAACGAGAAAGAAGAGAAATCAAAAGGTGAAGATAACGAGAAAGAAGAGAAATCAAAAGGTGAAGATAACGAGAAAGAAGAGAAATCAAAAGGTGAAGATAACGAGAAAGAAGAGAAATCAAAAGGTGAAGATAACGAGAAAGAAGTGAAATCAAAAGATGAAGATAACGATAAAGAAGAGAAATCAAAAGGTGAAGATAACGAGAAAGAAGAGAAATCAAAAGGTGAAGATAACGAGAAAGAAGAGAAATCAAAAGGTGAAGATAACGAGAAAGAAGAGAAATCAAAAGGTGAAGATAACGAGAAAGAAGAGAAATCAAAAGGTGAAGATAACGAGAAAGAAGAGAAATCAAAAGGTGAAGATAACGAGAAAGAAGAGAAATCAAAAGGTGAAGATAACGAGAAAGAAGAGAAATCAAAAGACGAAGATAACGAGAAAGAAGAGAAATCAAAAGATGAAGAGAATCAAGAGGCGAAACAAAATTACGAAGAAGACCTCGAGTATGTCACCAGCGAGGATGAGTCATCTGGTGAGAGCGAAGATTACGGAGAATACGAGGAGAATGACGAGGATAATGGGGATAAATTCGTTTACGATAATAAAGACGAAAGTTGGATTGCATATGACGAAGATCAAGAAAGGAATGAGCCACAAGAAGCCCCGGCGAAAAGTGCCGGTGCAAAATCAACAAAATTGGATGGACTCGAAAGAAAGATAAACATCACCCGAGCAACATCTAAATTGCAAGCTCAAAAGCAAAAGGAACTGAACCAAAAGGAAAAGGAGCTGGTGCGCATGAAGGAGACACTCGCGACGAAAGAAAATAAGTTGCGAGCGGAAGAGGTGAAGCTAAAGAAAAGTGAAAAGGGCTTACGTGAAAAAGAAAATAAAATAAAACATCTTGGTAAGACCTACAAATCAGAATCCAAGCGAGATAAAATCACTTCTACCACTAATATAAAAACGATTGCTAATTCGGATGATCTTATTGGGAATGACAACGACAAAAGAACTGTTGTTATTGCTAGTAGAAATCCAATCAAGAGAGACTTCAAGTACCTAGACTTTCTTGCCGGTGAGACTAACAATGCTGCTAGGCGAAAACGCGAGGCGCAAGTACAAGATGTTGTTGCAAGTGGTACAGTAGGATACGCTGCAGACTCTGTAGCGGATGATGAAGAATACAACATTTTCCGATACAGAACTGAAAAGAAATCCTACACTGTAAATGTAATACGCTTGGACTATGACGAGAAAGAAGAAAATCATAAAATGAAGTGCGTTCCCCCAAGTCTCGAAGAATTGGTGATAAAAGAAGAGTACACAGCGAGTACTACTGAAAAAATTGCAACAAAAAGAGTACCAAACAAGTTTGATGTCAACACAAGAAAATACAATCTCGCGTACGACACTAATGAAGAAAATAATGAAATCGAAGAACCGGATGAGAGCAATGAAGAGCTTGATGAAGGTCAAGATCTTAAGAATGGTCAGTCCAAGGAAAATGTTCAATCAAATCTATTTCAAAATCTTACAAATCTAAAAACAATTTTTTTCAGGACAAGATAAACGCTTCAAGGGGGATCCTAAGGAGAGAAATACACCAGGACCCAAATGGCCAACGGAAAGGACCACCAGATTTCACATAGGAGGCACATGGACCTGGGATAAGGAGTTCGTGGATGATTCTATTCCTGATACTGCGAACCAGGAAGAAGATAGTCATGGAGAACTTCAAACAACATGTTTAACCATAATTGTACCAAAACAAAATAGTATCGAAAGTAGTATAGGTGGGAGTGAAAGTGAACAGAATCTTCAGGACGAAGAATATCCTGAGAATCAAATAGAGAAACCGTTAGTTAAGCGCGGGGTAAAAATTCCAAGCTTTAAATTGCTAAAAAAGACCAGAGGTTTTCACGAGAGAAATGTTTCGATGAAAGACGCGCACGGGAATTTGGAAAACAGCCTTTTTTCGAATTTTCGAAACTTTCTTAGTCCCGAACGAAAGATTATCTATAATCCAAAACCAAATCTACGAAGAATCAAGTCTGTCGAACATTTTGGCAACGATCATAATTATTCGGATGACGTATTGGACGAGGTTGATGAAGATAATGAAAATGATTATGACGCTGATCAATTCAAAGTGGAACAGGATCAAACAAATTTTAATGCAATTAATCAAAGTCCTACCAATGACGTTCCGAGTAATTCCTCGAAGACTGATTCTCAAACAACACCCACTCTACGACCGACGATCAGTACTGTAATTACGACTGTCACAAATACTGAAAATACTAAAGATAGTTTAAGTGCCGAAGTTAATACAATAGCAGGTATTATGGATACCAGTAGAGAAACAACACCAACTACCAAAGTTTTAACAACTACAACGACTGTAACAACTACAGCGAGCATTGATGAAATGGTTAATTTTGAAGAAAACGAGGACAGTGTGAATGATGGTATGTTTAAAATAATCTTGTTTATCTAAAGACATGTTAATATCAGTACTGTTATTGTTGTTTTTGTAGGTAGCACAACAACTATCGGTAGAAAACCAATTGATGCAACATCAGCTTCTCTACATGTCAAAGAAGTACTTGAACAGGAAACGTCAGGTAATGCGGAGGACGACAACTTGAAGGAACAATATTATTATGAGGAGATTACTGATTCTCCTGAAGGCAAATTAGAATCATCTGAGGTAGCAAAAACAAATAATCCTGTAATAGAACAGGTACAACTTCCATTGGCAGCTGAATACGCGGATTACAAAGAAGATTCGTATATTGTTAACGAAGACGTGGGTTTGATAACGATGCCCGTGCAAGAAACTTTGGAAACGAACGACGTCAAGAGAGAAAAGAATGCATCGGTAAATTCTTCCACAATGAATGCAAAAAAGACTGTGAAGAATGAGAAAGTTGGGGAGAAAAGAAAAAATGACAAGTTTCGATCGATTTTTGATATCTTCGACGAAAATGAGAGGACGGGTCAAAGTAATGTACAGAAATATGGAGAATCGAGAAAAAAAGTTAAGAATATTTTTTTAACTGATAATCGAGAGATCCATCAATCAGCTGCAGACCCAAAAGCTTCTTCTGGGATGTTTTCACCTATTTTCAAAATGAAGAATGTAAAATTTATACAAATTGAAAACGTGAATATGCTACCAAAAGAAATTGCAATAGTATACAGATGTGGTCCACCCGAGATCATTACGGAATATCAAGATATTTTATCACAAACTGAAAGCACTCCTAAATTGACTTTTGACACCAATAAATTTAGTGAAAAAACTGTCGTGACACCTAACAGAGTAACTGAACCTATCACAGATAACAGAACTTTCCACACAACTACTGAAAACTCAACTGTCGCTCCGACCGTTACTTCAACAAGTGAAAGTACAACAATCACAAAAGATACTGTAACGCACCCCAAAACAACACCATATACAGAATTTGATATGATGGATCATACTAAAAGCAATAATAAAACTTGTCAAAAGATTTCTATCGAGGACATTCACGAGATAATGAAAACAACGACTATCCCAACAACTACAACATCTCCCAGAAGCGAAGATAGGGGTTATACCAGAAGTAATAATGTTGGAGAGCACAAAAAACTATTTTCTTGTACAAGAAGCAGCAGTAATCAAAAAAATCATATCACTTCAAGGTCCCCAGCAACAACAATTTATGAACCTTTGGCAACATCAATAAAGACCATGATAATGACTGACGTACCATTGCAAACTGATGATACCGGTGCTGGAGCATATGATGCAACAGAAAAATCAAAATCAAAATTGAAAGAACTCTGTGAAAATAAACTTAAACAGCTAACAGTAGTGTTTAAAGCTGTCGAAGAGAATACAATCGAAGCCAATAACGAAGACGAATATAACGATCTTGTGCAAGCTTATAAAGAGCTTCATAGTAATTCAGCACATTTTAGAGAACCGGTGGGCAAGGATTTGAAAAATAAATATCAAGTAAAGTACGAGGATGCGCAAAACGTGAATCATGGACGTCATCGGTACCCGTGGAAAATCGAAGCCGGATGTCGCAAAAGTCATTCTTCGAAAAAGGGAAGAAAGTTTCGGAAAACAAGTATTTTTGATTACACGAACGTGCGCAAAAGAGACAGAAGATCCCGGGAGAAGATGAAGAAGAAGTTGGATGCTCTGCGAAATGGCAAAACGTCAAGACGCATCTCGGCGAAGAGAAATATCTTTAAAATGTGGAACAGGAAATTACCAGAACCCATGGAGATGGTGAAGTTCGAGGATTTCGAGCGTCAAAAGAAAATGAGACCAGAAGATATTGAAAAAGAAGCTGCTGTCAGTATTATGAATTCTCTACTGCAGAGTACTGTCATGCATGATCTGGAAACAACCACTGTCATTGGTACAACAACTACGAAACCGGTAACAACAACACAAACGATCCTACAGCAAGTTTACACGTATGCAACGGAGCCGGTCGATCCTGAAAACGCCAATGAGGTTCGATATGATGGAAAACTGACTTACCCTAAACATACCGATGAGCATCTTTCAGGTTGGAGAAATCTGAATCAACAAGATGACATTGTCCGTGGAACGAAGCGGGTGGAACTCGAAAATGGCGGATTGGAGAAACGGGTAGGTCTTAAACCTAAAAGTGAAAATGATGAAGAGACAGCAGAACGCGATTCAAAAACTACTACCGAAGAACCTACCCTTATGTCCGAACTTAAATTAGATGAACATGTTCATAGAACAACTGTCGGCGATACAAAAAATTGTAAAGAACAAGAACCAGTTATGAACATAACCAAAGAGTTGGATTCATTGGAGATGTATGACTGGACTGAATCGCGATTCGCGGCTGGAATTTCAAAGACTAATAAAAGTTCTTCAAAATTGACTACTTCAATGAAAAGTACTGCATCGAAAACAACCACAAAAATACCTACTATTGTATCCCATGAAATAAAACAACCTGTACACATTGCGAGTACTTCTAATACGAAGACAACAACAACTGCTATTATTCCAGAGCCTAGTACTACAACTAAAAAACCCAATACGACAACAACTACAGCAAAACCTAGAAATGCAAGTACTACAATGAAAAAATCAAATACAAAAAAGCATACTACTACAAAAAAGCATACTGCTACAGAAAAACATACTACTGCAGAAAAGCATACTACTACAGAAAAGCATACTACTACTACAAAAAAGCCTGTAAGCAAGAAACAAAAAGAGAAGAGTACAACAGCACATCATGTTGATAAAAGCAGTAGTACGAAGAAGCCTTCAACGCAAAAACATGTTTCTTTGGATAAACTGCACCCTCAGTACAAGACAGAAAACATGTTGGATCATTCTGATTTTACTACATCATCCAACCTATCTCCAGCTTTTATAGTCTGCCTTCCGGAAATTCAGGGAAACTTAGACTTCACTACAACGATGGAACCCTTAAATTTTAATGATCTTCTCATATCCGGCAACGGGGCAAGCGACAATTTCAACTTGGCAATCACTACGACAAAATCTGACCCTTTACTAGGCGAGGAGGGCATTCCACCAATGAACAATTTAAATGAAGTCCTGGAAAAATTGTATCGTAGTGAAACAACTCTTTCGTTACCTGCAATGTTGATTGGTCATGGGGTGCAGTTAAAAGATGATCGAGACACTTTGAAACATTTCCTAGCCAAATTGCAACCCAGCAATTTGCAAGAAGATCAATTTTTGAAAATGAGGAATTCTAATAAATCGCCCGGAAGAACTGCACGCAAGGAAACTTTCTCATTGTTTCCAGTGGAGACTAGGGCAAACGTCATCAATGATCGTAAGTCAATTTCCAAAAGAAGGAGCCGCAGCGTCTCGTCAAAAAATCGGACTTTCGAATCCTGGGAGGATGAAGTAAATCTTGATGAACAAGATCCAAAGAATACTGAGGATAAGAATGTTGAATTAATTCGTAATAGCGATGTTGCGGAAGATGATAATGAAAATTCATTGGACTCATCTAATAAACAGGATAACTTGAAGAATAACGGGGTAGAAAAGGAGAAGCAGTTATGGTACGATTACGAATCGAACTACGAGGATAATTTATATGGAGAAGGCATGCGTCGTAGATCTTTGCTGGGTTTAAAACATCATCCAAAAATAACCAAAAATGTACACAAGGAAAATATTCTGCCAGTCGTAAAAAATGAAAATGTAAAACTTTTTGCTCGAGTCAAAAAGTCCCTAGGTACTACAAATAGTACTTTGGATAGTGGAAATTTCGCTAATAATAATGATACGAAAAATTTGGAAAGTTCCTCACTGTTAGGAAAAGTGTTGACAATGATTAACGATAATTATAATCAAGATTACGAGAGCCGATTGAAGTCGGGATATCTCCTTGAAGACAAAGTAGATTCCAACGAAGAAGACAAGAATTTGACGAAAATCGCAAAACCTCGAAGTCTTTTGGAGAAAGTCAAAGAAATCATTAATTCTGCCATGGGTCGTAGCACTAATAACAAGAATCAATTGCAGGAAAATCAAACGAAACAAATCGAAGTCTCTCGTAATTTACATGGAAAGGAAAAAAATAACGACAGAAAAAATATACAAGATCCATTTACCGTAAAGAATATAAAGCCCGATACACAAGAAACAAGTAAAAGTGCCGCAGTAATTATGAAAGAACGCGTCGCAAGGAACAAAGCACAAACCAGTTTAAAATTGAGGAACAAATTACGAAAAGTATTGCAAGTGACAAAAAAACCCTATCAAAATGCAAAGCACGTGAAAACAAGTAAGAAGCTAACAGAAACGAAGGTAAATCCAAAGCAGATAATATTGGATCACAAAAAAAGTTCAGAGTCTCACAAGAAGAAATCTGAAAAAGATAAAAATTCACTCAACATCCGCAAAGAACATCCGTCGCACAAGAACAGCAGCAGCAACAGCTTTATGAAAAAAGTAAAAAAAAAACCGAGGGCTACAGCGAGATTACCGACTGGTGGTAAACTTAAAAAAATGTCTGCTGTCAAAGTAAAAATTAAATCAACTACCAGCAAAAATAAACTGAGCTCAAGAAAACCTCCGTCGGTAAGTAGTTCGACGCTGAAAAAGGTTCAGAAGGTAACGAAGAAGCCCATGCGTGCGAAATCAAAAAGCTTGAAGAATCCAAAAACGAAAAATTCTTCAAAAACGTTGAAAAGTCCTCAAAGATTTAATCGCGAGGGAAGAGACTTTGTGATAGAGAACAAATCACATTCTCTCAACATCAGTAGTATAATACCAACGGTTCGTGAATTGGTTGAAAAAGAAAATTTAGGAAATCTTGAGAAAATAATCGTATACGTAGATAAGCGCAAGAATAATTTTTCATCGACAAAGCCGAAAAATATTTTGAACCAAGGTCAAATAAAATCTCAAAATTACAAATTGAGAGAGCAAACTGAAGTTTTAAAAGGACGATCTAAGAGTTTAATGGGAAATTCAAATCTCTTTAACAATTATAAAATGACGAATGAAGGTGTTGAAAGCGTTGGGAATTCTTCGTTGATCGATAAAGGAAAATTATCCATCGATGGTCTTTCTTTGAATGAAGTAGTTTCCAAAGTTGCTGATGAAATTTTACAATCCATTGTGCCATCCTCTGATGTGTCTTCGTATCCGATGGATCCTCACTTAGCTATCAAGATAATACAGCCAGTGGCCAATGGAAGTGAAGAAATTATAAAAGAATTCAATATAGACTTATCAAATACAAATGTCACCTTGGATAATGTTGATCCTGTAAAAAATCGAAAAACTCGTTTGACAAATTTAGGTGATTACAGGAAAAATGAAAATTTTGACCAATCAAATTTTCCTCTTGCAACCAGATACAGAAATGAACGGAAAATGAATCTGGTTGATTTGCCATACAAAAAGAGAAGAAACTGGCTGAGAAAAATTAGAGGAGATGAAGATGTAGCTGATATTAAAAAAATGCTTAAAAAATTAGAACAGCTGCGATCACAGGAGAGCTATTCGTCTGATCATTCTCGATTTCCAAAATCGTTGCACAACAATGGCAGACACAGAAAGCGTATGAAGATGCGAAGAAGCAGACCGACACATAGATTGCGAAAGGGATGCTGGGGTAAGAAAAATAATCTTCGAAAAAGTCACGTTATCGGAAAATCGTCCGATAAGAATTTTTGCGATTCCGATGAGAGCATCAAGGAAAAGATAAAGATTCTTTACGCCATTCATCACAATGATAATGACTTGAAGAAGAAAAAGAAGAAGGAAAGTGGAAAATATTCGACAAACAAAAAGAACCAGATTTTTTCGAAAAACACAGTGAAAAAGGGAAATTTAAAAAAAATTAAAACAAAACGCGAGACCAATGAAGATCAAAATGATACATCAATCAATGACGCGCGTGATAACTTAATGAACGTGGAAGACGGCGATAAAACTCATTTGGAAAATTTTTATGACACAGAAAAATTCCAAGAGGATCCTGATTGGCTAGAAAACTCTTATTACAACGATCATGACAATCCAGATGATGAGATCAATGATTTATCTGATGACTATCAGGACCTTGAGAATGATGATACTTTCGACAGATTCAGAAGAGAGGAGCCATTTTCTGATTACGAAGAACCAATTGGAAATTTGTATGACAGTATAAAGAGAATCGTGGGAAAGAATATACAAGAAAAACAAGTCTCTGAAGAACCAATATACAGTTTTTTAGCATACAATGAAAAATTGTCGCCTCAGCAGGAACTCAAGAATTCATCAACTGTCGATCCTAGTTTGTTTTTATACAGCAATAATAATTCTTGTGCTGTCAAGACTCTTGGAAACGTTGAATTTCCTGCCGAAGAGAATTCCACGAGTGGAACAAAAAAGAGCGACATCGTGAACGCTCCATTGATTTTGGAAAATTCAAAATTCACTGAACGTCAATCAAAACTGCCTGAAACAAAGAAGTTTCGGTTCAACAGTTCAACTTCAATACGTGGAATTGTACATCCTACTAAGAAATCAGTTCATTCTATGACAAATTATGAAATTCCACTCATAACTGCGGATCCTTTTTCAAAAGATCATTTTGGATCAGAGATAAAAGGTAGCAATAAGGAAGCACAAGCGTCAAATCCTTTTCCACCACTTTCTGAACCTGACGCACCTGAAAGATTAGATAAAAAAAATGACGTAAAACTGAACTTGAAAATGGATGAGATGTTGGATGAAAAAAATGTGAAAAAACCTGAACACATGACGTTTATCAGAAATTCTCTTGGCAGAGTTAAAAAGCAAAATAATAGTCGTGACAAGGGTCGACCTGATCCTACTATTAAATTGAAAAATGTTATTCCAAGACAAAAGAAAAAACTTCATAGCCAAGGAAAACGAATAAATTATAATTACAGAATTGGGGAACCTGCAGGTATGAATGATAAGAAGCACAAAATTGATACGGATGAATTGGAAACAGGTAAGAATTTTCAAAATGCTTTGGCAGAAATGACTAGGCTTCTTGGTGACATTACTTTGAAAACGGATAGCAAAATAAATTCTACAAGTCAGTCTGTCAATGAAACCAGAATAGAGCGAGCTGCCAATGATAATAAAACTGGAATAGAATTTTGCAAAAATTGTCATTATTTCTGTTCGCAATTGGAGTTCAAGCAAAGGGACAAAAAGTGTTTACTGAAGAAAGTGAATAAGAAATTGATGTCCACGACACCCCTTAGTATTTTGAGTAATAAAGAAAAAAATAAAAACTCTGTTGAATATACAGCAAAAGACGTGAAAGGTATGGCAGAGAAAATTTTGAGATTTTCCAGTGAAATGAATAAACATTTGAAAAAAATTGATAAGGTTCGTGACGTTCAGGATGTTGATTTTGATGGTATGGTTGAAAAATTTGGAAAGAATGAACTAGGCCTTACTGAGGAAACTGACAGGAGATCCTTGAGGACTCTTATCAATGAGATTATCAACGTCGAGAAAAATGTTAATACCACGTTACAAATAATTAAAAGAAAATTGGAAGAAACAACAACACAAAGTTTCAGTTCCGAAACTTTGGATTTTGGAATAATTTCGAATTTTAAAGATAGTCAATTTCATGATAGGTCAAGGCATAAAGTGAAATCTTGGCACGAGTCTCCAAGGACCAGAGCTGTACAGAAGCTTAAGATTATTCTGGATAACGTGGCTAAAGATAGTTTGAAAAAGGGAAACGAAATTCTTTTGGAAAGGAACAAAAATGTTTTGCATGCTAAACAGGAGATCAAATCCATTTTGGATGATTTGGTGAACAATCCAGACAACGTAGATGCCAGTATGAATTTTGACAGACTGTCTGGAGTGAAGGATTTAAATTTCTATATAAATGGCAAAGATAAGGGACATCATTTTCTCAAGATAAAAGATAAGCCAAATAAGTCAACAAAATATACTACTAACAAACTGAATGCCACCACGTCGAAACCGCGTTCTACAACAAGAAAAATGTTTAATAAATCAAGTAAAAAATATAATAAGAAATTTACACAGAATAAGTCAGGAAAGAATGAAAAAAAGAAAAAAAAATTAGTCCAAAAGAATCATAAGATAGCGTTAAAACATCAGATTGCACCAAAACATACTAATGGTAGAAGCAGACAGAGGAGTCAGAAACGTAAAAAGATTTCTCCAAAACGTGATAAGCATAAACGAAAAGATAATCCAAATAAAAAAAAACTAGATCAGCTGAAATACGAAGAGGATCGTATAGACGAGATTGACAGAGAGATCAAGGAGATCCTAAAGGAGGAAAGTAATGGAGCCAAACTGAACAAATATAATTTGAAGTCAGATTTTCTCGCTATGCTTCCTGGAGAATTGAATGATAGTTTTGGCAAATTGAAGGAAACCAATTATTCACCAGGACTGAGAGTGAAGAAAGATCTTTCACGTGACAATGAAAAATTTCAATATGAATTAAATGAACGCTTAAATGACGACGTCATAAACAAAGAAAATTCAAAACGAGTAGGACGTCAACTCTGCAATGAAAGATTGACAAAAGAAAAGCAATCGAAGATTAATAAGTCCAAAAATAACCCAAATGGTGGAAAATCTGTTGAGAATTCAAAAAAAAAAATCAATTCATTAAAAAAATTGTCAAAAGGAAAGCATGTCAAATTAGAAACTCAGACAATAATACCCATTGAAAACGGACAACTTCGCGTAAAATATATTTACCGTGATAGAAAGCCATTGATGAAGAAAAGTGTAAATTTTCAAAAAAAACAAAAAGTAGAGTTATCTTCAACTTCATTAGGATCTGATTGTGCAAACTGCATCTGTGATATGGACCACGTCATTCAGGACCTGAGAAAAATTTTTATCAAAAAAGATGACATTCTCCCTTACATTAAATCATATACTTGTACCGGATATACTGATATTGGCAATCAAATATTATTAACAATTGATGATGATTCTTTGCCAAGGGGTCGATATGATTTCGAAGAAGTCAGAGGTCAAAAATATATTGGACCAATGGACCTTGAGAATACTCTAAAACGTGGTTTAAACGATAGAGATGGTAAGTCCTGTGCAATTTCTTCTGTAAACAAATATGTTGATAATAATTATAATATTTACAATAAATTATTAATGTTTGTCAGATGCTGAAATATTCTCAATGCCAGGTTATAATTTAAATGTACCATGTAATCATAATGGAGATGATATGTGGATAATGAGTACTGGTAGATTAAATTACACCTGGATACAAGCTGATGGCAGTCCCGTACCAGGTAGATTAATATGATACATATAACTCATGGATAAAAAAAATATATTTCATTATATATTGCAGGATTTATTCAAAAAAATGGCAACCTTAGAGTCTACGACGTGGATGCTAGAAATGCTGGAAATTATTCATGTGTCGTTAGCTACATAGATCCAGAAAGCGAGGAGCTCGTGAGAAATGTCTACAATCACAGTATCAATGGTATTTATATAAAATCTAATATTGCTGTATTAAAGTAATAAGTTTTTAATGCTCTTATTAACTTTTGTATAGTGGTGACACTGCCTAGTTACACGTTACGTGCAGGCAATCGTTACAAACTGGATAATTGTGAAGATTCTAATTTGGAGAGTCTGTCTATGTACTTTCCAAAGAAGCTAAATAGCATTCTCTGCAGAAATGGAACCTGTGACATTTTTGTCTTTACACCACACTGCTACCGTGGACAAGTAAGTCATCAATAATGATAATATTACTCCAATTGTGTTTCAGTGATTTATATTCTTCCGTTTAGGTAACGATAATAATTCTTGTGGTCCCATCGAGTACTGCTCATCTGATTCCTTTGAGTCCAACGCAGTGTGGCCTTCCATGCCGAAAAGCCATTCAGGACAAAATTGTATTGCTCCTTAGTAGGAATATGGAACGTGTGCTGCGTAAACCGAGTTAGTAAAAACTATTATAGTTTCCTAGTCTCAATCAGCATAAGTCATAGAAATGTACGGTGTTAAAGAATACTCTTGCTTATTAACAGTATTTTCTATAGAGATCTTTAACGACAGTTTCTTTCAGGTCACCACGTGGTAGTCAAACACTCCTCCCAATTCAGGATCACGAATGGATCAGTAACAGAAGTAAAAGAGGAAAGACTGCAAAGGATAGAGGAAGCGATCTGTCTAGGGTGGGTCTTCTCATTGGTTGTCCTGCAGGATATAATCTTCAGGACACTCATTGCTGTAAGTTTAATATTAAGATTTTTTTTTCGAAGTAGTTCATGTTATACAAATCCTTTTTTTCGTTCTCCTTTTATTGGTAGATCCATGCAGTCCAGGTTATTACAGTGAGGATGGTGCATCCCGTTGCAAGAAGTGTCCTCCAGGAACTTACCAGCCTGAATCAGGCTCTAGAAATTGTCGTCCTTGCACTAATCCCTTCGTAGATGGTTGTATTGATATGGTAACTTTTATTTTTATTGTGCTAACGAGGTAACCAATGTGCGATGTTTCTAATTACATATGTCTTGGTTTGTGTTTCATTTACAGCTTTGGAATTATTCCTCTAGTATTACAGCAGCTCTTGTGAGTATGACAACACTGATATTAATGCTGCTGATAATACTAGTGTGCTGCATGAGAAAGATACATAAACAAGAAGCTGAAACATGTGCAAGATCCACAGAAATCTCAACCAAGTATCAGGTAACGAGAATTTCAGGAATCTATTGTTATATTAATTCAGTTATTCAAGAATTATCTAACTGTATGTAATTTTTCATTTTCATAGTTAGTAGAGAGTCAACCAATGAAAACTATTCAAGAACTTAGTGATGAAGAGAATGACTATAGCTGGGAATGCGAATGTAAACCAAAAAGAAAAAGGATATCTAAACGAAATCAGAGATCTGACATGGATAGGATCCGTGATACCGATCGTAGAAGCAAAGTAAAAATGGCGTTAAAAAGTCATTATTCAATAAGAAAACATGAAATTACTGAATGATTTCAGGTAAGAAAATATTGTGACAAAGAAAAGAAAGAACGCAAGTTGGATCAAGTTCGAACTATTCCAATAGTATGTATTGATTCACATCCAGCTCACGAAGGATACTATGATACTCGTATGTATATAATATTACCTTACAAGTATGAGCTAATTCTGTAAGAATTCATTTATAGCAAACTATGATTATACTGCAGATTTTTTGGAAGTATTGCGCAGAACAAAACCTCCAGTGCCACAACCAGACTTTGACCAATGATCATAAATCCCCAGATCAACTAAAGTGTCGACTGAGGAAACAGAATCTAATTCATAATACTATTACTATATACATAATACTATACATGACACCAGAATATACAATACTTAATTTTAATCACTAACGGTAGGTTCTTAATTATTGTATATCGGTTGTATTTTACTAATAAAAAACAAAATACTACAAGACTAATGACAGGCATAGTACTTATGTACTATTTAAAAAATGACGACCCATGAGATTTCAATAATGGATATAGGTTTATTAACTGTACAATATCAAAGAAATAGACCCAGTTACATAGATGTAGACTGTACCTGCTTGTACTACAATGAAATCAGCCCAACCAGACCCTGTAAAGGGTGACTTAATATAATATAAAGATATATTAGCTCGATATCCGCAAAACATGGCTGATACAATGGAATATGTACTCACAGCTTATTTCAGCAGTTGATGACGCAGTATCAGGAATGGAGCACCAAGTCCGGTGCCAAAGAAGAGAATGAAATAGGCAGTCAACTTGAATCGATTGTGAATGGAGAATGGGAGATTCTGAAACAAAAAATCATCAATTTCCCAACTTTAGCGCTCCAGAATTTGATTGTAAAGTTGTACAGTAGATTATGCAACAGTAAAAAAATGATATATTTTTACGTACGATTCCAGGAATACCGCCGGGCTCATCATGATGATCGGACCGCCTTAAAGCGGACGTCGTAAACCTCCTTATTACTTGACGGCTTATCATTTTCGGTAATTAATTTCAAACGCAGTATAGAACTTATGCCCAACCACTCTTACCAGAACCGTCTCGCACTCTGCGAAAATATGCAGTCGAGAAAATGGGCGACTGTATGTAAGTATAGTTTTGTACCCCAGTGCCATCTATAATTCACAATGGAGATACTGTAAAGTATATACAGTTATCTGCCGGTAAGTGTGGTTTGTGTAATTTGTTACCGGAGAAGTACTTTTCAAGTATATATTACATCATTTTCGTCGGAAAAGTCATAGGTTTCTTTAAAATCGGTACCACCACTATTCGTTTTGGCATTTTGAAATATATACATATATAGACAAGAAGATTTTTATTGCGTCTAATAAAAATTAGGATCATTTGTAGTTTCAAAAAATAACCTTATACTTTCTGCTGACAATAATGGTAATGTTTTTTGAATATTGGATTTATTTATGTCAAATAACATGTGATTAATTAACAAAAGTTACTATTATACAATACGTGCTTCTGTTTCTTCCAATATAAATAGTTTAAAAACATCTTTGTATTTTTCTTCCAAATTTTTGAAGTGTTTGATAAAGTATAAACTATGTTTCAGAATGTGTCACTGGAAGCTAATGGTTTTATCGATGAAATTCTAAAACTTACTGAGCTACAAGAAATGAAGGTGGCTATGAAAAATAATGTTCTGGCAGGATTTTTTGTAGGTGTAACAACACTGTGTGGTGGTTTATTTTTTGGCCCTCTAGGAATTGCAATTGGTATAAAAATAAATAATAAAATTGGTCATTAATTGTCTCATATAAGGAAAATTATTCTTTTATTATTAGGTAGTACATTTGGAGGGTGCACAGCTTCGTATGTATTACGTGGGACCTTTAAATCAGTACCACAAATAATAAAAGAAGATCTTACGCCTGAGCAAAGGAAAAAACTGGCAGCTTCTGTGCAGGAACTTTGTAGTACTCACAACATACAAACAGCTCTTCAATTAGCCTTGTATTTGAAAGATGACAAAGCATTACTTCTAATGGTCATTCAATTGATCAAAACATTTTTGGAATCTGAATTGGCTGTAAAAACTATAGAATCGTGTACACTACCAAGTTCTAAAGCATGATTTATAACAATTTAAAGATCAATTTCTCACCTATTAACTATTTAAATTAATCACTTTTTTAACTAGTATGTGGCGAAGAGAAAACATCTCCCCTGTGTAAGCAAGATTAAAGATAGGATAGACAGATATTAAATTTAAAACAAAGTCAATATAAATGCGGTGCTGCAGTTTTGTTTAATTCGTACTATTGTGTATTTTTTTATTTAACAAAATAAACATATTGAGATTAGTATTAAACTCTATTATTCACATAATCACCAAACGAATTTAATAGGTTTCACAGATTGCATTCCAGAAGAGAGACGTGGAGGACCAAATCTAAAATCTAAATTTTAAAGTGATATTTATATATAAATCTAGAAAAATTTGTATCCTTATATTATTAGTTACCTGTGTAGAAAATTCCATTTCTTAAGTTTCGGCGATGATTTTTATTTGGCATTGCTGTTGATCCTCTCTGATATATCATGCAAAATCCATAATGACACAGTGCAAAAGTCAGTCTAAGAAAGACCTCAACGACTTCAAGAAGCATAAAGAGAGTAACACCCAAGTATAGACTTAAAGCACCACCCAAACTACCCACAAATGTTTGGAGCTATGATAAAAAAATCTGTCAATTTGGTAACTAGAAAACATTATTGTGATGAGAGCATCACCTTATAAGTTGGATGCTGAACGATAGATTGAATTCGTAGGTTTTCAAAAAAGACATCAATAGTCAGAACATTTTCCACAACACGTTGTTTTTCCTGTATTTGATTCTCTGACTGATACATCTTGTATTTGCAGTTACGTGCCATACCAAATCTCTGAGCTACATCGCACTAAGAATAAAGAAATCTTAAACTGAAGAAACTGTAATCAAATTGTAGGAAATTAAAGTAAGTTTATCTCACCCAATTGTTATCATTAGGCCAAGTAGCCTGAGATATTTTCATTTCATACATTGTTTCTCTGAAATCAAAAACCCTTGACATGCCAAAGATATCAATATTCAGTTACTTTAACTCGTACCTGCAATCCATATTACAGCTGCAAGTTCTTATGGAGTTTTCAAACTCATCTAGTACTTGACTTGCGCAAGCATAATTCTGATCTAAAAAATTAAATAATTAGTTTAATTAATATATTATTTGAAGTAATCAAACTTACGTTCCGACGTTAAGTTACACGGAAAAGCCTCAGTAGCCAGATCCATGTAATTTGGATGAGTACAGGAGCAGCTTTCTTCAAAAGCCAGTTGTAAGCAAACACGTTGGCAGCGCTACTCAATGTTTAATTTATTATTTATTAAGAATTAAATACACAATAGATTAAAATCACATCTTACCTCCATTGTGTAAGGGTACGAATCAGTTATTCTGGAGGCATACCAAGTGCGCTCCCAGCCTGACGTACAATTGGTACTATACGGTAATTTCTCCCTATTCAATCGGACCTGATAAAAGTAAGGAAAGTGGAAAAATTACGTACTAGTTTTTTAATATAACAATTTACTGCATCAATTATTTATAGATGCACCTCCATCAATGCAAGGCCCGTTGCTGTATGGGGTGGTACTGTTACCCCATTTGCATCTGGCAATGGTAACATCGACGGTGCATGCACAACAACCCGTGCACCAGCTCTTGGGCTCAAACCACCCCCGATATAATTTCTTTGATCAAGAAACAATTCCAGAGACAAACCTAAATTGTAAATTCATATAAAGATTTTGTTGTTAACTTTTAACGATTTAATTAAATACCGTAATCCTTGCCGGGCATTACTGTTTTTCTAGTAGTCATGAATGTAAAACAATTTCCAAAAGTTGTGCTTAAGAGAGGCCTAAAGAACCTATATAGATAATTAAATTAATTTAACAATTAATGATTTAATGATTAATGCGATCAATACATTTACAGATATCTTATTTACAGGGTAACATTGCTGCAAGACTTTCCACTAAAAGTACAAGCTCTTATGAACTCATCTGTGTCGTGTCCCATCGCGGAGCGATGCTCTTCAGAAAAGTTAGTATATAGTGCCATAAAATTCATAAGATCATTAAACGATCTCGTTTGATTAACTGGCTTTTTTTCATCATCTTCGCCAATTGATACTGTTACTGCAGCAATTGATTCTATCGTAGTCTTTGTCGTATTAGAAGATATTTTGACTTCTCTGCAAGCAAATTGTTTAAAACAACAATACTATCAAGAGACTCGGTCGAGTCTCGCGCCAAGTACAGGCAACATCTTTTCTAGAGTGTTTTAAATTGAATAATCATACCCTGTGATTAACTTATCTGATCGTTTTGATCTAAGAATACTATTAATTTTTATAGTATTATCTCTTCTTGGTTTCCAATGAAGTTCAATGCAACTAGTCATATCGTATAATCTAGAAAATATAATGTTCATTAAAATATGTCTAGCCTGTATTTTCCAAATACCAACTCTAAAGAGAAATCTTACTCTTGCAATCGATCTCCTAGATCCGTGTCCCGGTTTCTTCTTGCAAGTCTTCGTAAATTACCGCAGTGTACGGGATTCAGATTGCAAACAGTGACAGCAGGAAATGGTAAAGAAGTCGCTTGCTTGATATTTATAGTTGTAATGACTGGATATGCCAAGTAATCCATCCAACTGATATAAACATCTCGAATCGTACAAGCTAGACCAATCTGTAACCAATTTTGTTGATACAATAATATAGAAAAATTTAGTATATACATACAGTGTCCATTGAGTTACCACGAAAAGAATAGACCAGGCGATAGTGGCAAATTTTCCTTGAGCATTGTGAACACTTTGTAAACCAGGAATCGTTGTAAGGCCAAGATATTTATGCCAAGTACGCCATATTGGATTCCAATATCCTAATACTTTACGAAACCACTTGGATTTTACGATTTTTCCTCTGTAGAACATCATAGAGCTAGAAAACGTGTAGCTTTGTTAGCATTTCTTTTTGACACTGTTTTCTTCGGGAGACGTGCAAAGAGCTTGATTTATCCTGAAATCTTTTCATTTTTAATAAGAGCAGGCGTCATTTGGGTCGCTGTGTATCATCAGCTTTGTTTGCTCAACAAACAACAACGTCGTCAGGATAAACTGTACACATGGAAGGTAAGTACGTAGGAGAATCTAAAATCACGAATTGAATTCTTTATTGAACACAAACGATAATGAACATTTTAAAAAAATTTGTAGAATATATTTTTTCATAATTATTTAATTTATTTGACTTGAACACCAGTAAGAGTTGATGATACTATCGGACCTTTTCCAGGAATACTCAATGGAACACCCTTGTACACAGCTTGCTTTTGATCATCAGTCTTCAAGTCAGGTGCACAGGTTTCAAAGATCTTCTTTTTAGGATTAAGAATATTATCTGGAACTCTTGGATAACCTTCGACGTGCACGAGATCCCCAGGAACAGCACCTGCCGGTGGAATCAAGATTTCTACAGCTTCAGGAGAGCTGGCACACATAACCATTGCCTCAGAAGTAATGCCTCTCATTTTAGCTGGTTTTAAATTGCATAAGACAACGACCAGTCTGTTTTGCATTTCTTCAATAGGAACGTGTTTCACCAAGCCACTCACCTACATGATGAAACATGGGTATCAAGAAAATGATCGTAATGAATAATTTTATATTAATCACTTGAGAATTTTACCACAGTTCTGTTTTTTCCTTCGCCAATGTCTATTTCCTCTACATATAGCGAATCAGCATCTGGATGCTTCTTAACATTTACAATTTTCCCTACTTTGAAATCTAGTCTACCAACGTCGATAGGTGGTTCTTCGACTACTTTTGTATTAGATGGTTTCTTCTCATTAGCAGGAGCCTTTTCTTTTTTTGTCTTAGCTTCTTTCTTTTGAGGAAGAGTTTGTGGTAGAGATTTCTCTGAAATAACAGGCTCCACAGGTGTTTCACTAGGTTTTACAGGTACAACATCTTTATCCGGTATTGGTACCTAGTAATAATACAAAAGTATATGAAATACTTTGCGCTGATAGACAGTTACATTTAGCGTTGATAGTAAAGATGAAATTGTATATATTGGTACAAGGGATATTTTACAAAATGATTATTTAATATTAATAAAAAGATTAATGCAATTTACCTGCTTAATGCCTTGTAAAGTTTCCAGTCTGATCAGTTCATTTCTATACCTTTTAATTTCATTGCGAAGCTTTTCATTTTCCAATGTAAGATCCTTTTGAACATTTCTACTTTTTATTTCTTCTACCTAAAATTTCAATTCATTGTTTATTCAATTGGTCATTCACACATAAAAAATTTCCGGATTGTTTTTAGTACCTGATTTTTCAATTGAATTATTATTTGCTCCGCAGCAGCTGCCTTTGATTCTAGCCGTCTTATTACCTCGGCAGATGCCATTTTCGATTTTATTGAGGTTTTTAATCTGTTAAAAATATATTCTTTAGAGAAAAATGACTGGATAAGTCGAGAAAAGTTCCTCATTTACATGCGCGAATTTCACAAAGAGGTTAAGAGAACAATTTTCAATTGGGTCATCTTGTATCTAAATTGTAAGATTGTCTAGATAATATAATTAAGATGTTAGATAAAGATGACACGTTTGACGAAAATGAAAAAAAGTTGGAATTAAATTTTAAGGATACTCGAATGGTTTATCAAAGGGTTGTTCAATTTGAAAAGATATGCATCATTTAAGCAAGTGCCATTTTAGTTAATGAACAGATTTGTCAAACTAGAAAGACGCTATAAGAGCATTCTAAAAATGCCTTTCAAAATAGATATGCAATATGAAACTGTATTTGTTCAGAGCGCTGTAGCGCAGTTGCTTGTGTCACGCGCAAAGTGTGAGTCGCTTGAGTGTGTTCAGTGTAGAGTCCCTCTAGTCCACGGGGGCGACACTCCAAATCACTCCAAATGGGATATAGTAAAGCATAGAATATTTATACAACCTACCGATCAGGGTAAAACTGCAGTATACGACTCCGAACTGAAGTTGGCTGCTAGTGACTTAGATTTTTAACGTAGCGCCATCTATCAAATGTAATGCGAATTGTATAGAATAATGGCGCCTCCTGATCGGAAAAAAGCGCAACTATCTTTAAAAATTTGAAATGAATATATTTTTAACGTTATCATATACATTATCTTGTTATAAAAATATATTTTCACGAAATATGATCTAATAATCGCAATATTCCATGTTTGAAGTTTTTTTTCGTTTAATTTTCGTGCTATGCCACACAGGTTTACACTTATTATGTATACAAATATTTTGATATGAAGATATTATTACATATTTTTATATTAAATATGTGTATATTTAATTTATAAATAATATTATTTAAAAATATAAGTATGTATAAGTGCAGGCTCGTGATTGGCCATTGAGCATTAAATTTGATCTACTGCTTCGAGATTTTTTTGCTACAATGTATCGTCTGCTTTCGTAAAACATGTAGAAGCATGATTTTTGTTAGTAGCTCGCAAAGCGTGTAACACAAGTGTGCTATTATTTCTTCTGCTTAAATTGGATTATATGTGATCGATTGCAATGGTGATACAGTTCGTAGATTTGTTCAAAGTAGGCAAGAAACCTATTGAGGAAATCCCAAACAATCGGCACTTTTCACAGCCACCAATTATTGACGGAGCATCAACTTCTCAATTCATAGTATTTTGCGTAAGATGAAAGAAGAGGTTTCAGCTTCGAAATTTGTAAGTAAATTATATAAATTTATGTATAATATATTTTTTTAGATCTTCATTAATTGATACATATGTGTATTCCAATAAAAATAAATTGGTTTTATAATTTTAAATATGGTTAATTTTATTTCTAATAGGCGGCGTTACTATTCCATGCGATTCACATTATATCCGGCAGATGGCGTTACATCAAAAAACCTAAGTCACTAGCAGCCAACTTAAGTTCGGAGTCGTATACTGCAGTTTTACCGTAGAAAACAGGCTTTTTGATATTTCGTTCGTTACTTTTCGTGAATCAACTGAAAAATGCATAGGCATAATAATAATACGGATTTTAAAAATCGAGAAGAACAGCCAGCTGAATTGGAGAGCCAGCTTATTTTGAGACTACCACCGGTATAAAACACTCATTTGCTTTTATAACCTATGTGTTCAGTAAGATGATTTTGATAAACATTCTTATTTATTAAAGGAACCATCCAGAATTTTAAGAGAAACATTACGTTCTGGTTTACCTCTTAAGGATCGTTTGAGCATTAAGCTAGAAAATGACATGAGGTATGGAGAAGTGAGATTTGACCATTGGCTTCTTCATGCGAAGGTAAGTTATATAGCATTTGTTATTTTTGTATAATTATTATAGTATTGTTCTAATATCTAATTCTTGCAGGTGGTCGATCTCCCAACAATAGTGGAAGCCTTGAAAACAATTGATAACAAAAGTTTTTATAAAACTGCAGACATTTGCCAGGTAATGTAATAGTACTTTGCGATACGAGTGCGAGAAAGCGAACTTTATAGGCAGGCGGTGAAGTTGGTCGCACGAGCCGCTCACGAGTAACACAACGATACGAGCCGAAGGCAAGTGCTGTTTGTTTTACGAGTGCGGCGAGTGTGACAAACTTCACGACCTGCGTATAATGTTCACTTTATTGTACCAGTATCGCATAATATTTTCTGTAACGAATGCATGAAAAACGCTACTTTTTGTGCCTCCAAAGTGACTGGAACATCTCTTCATTGGAGGAGACAGTTATAAGAAGAGCAAGGAAGGCTTCCAAAGTGAATGCATTTCATGACAGCGCACGAGAACAAAGTTTACTTTATCGCACTAGTGCGATAATGTAAAATTGGGCCGATTTGTGCATGCGCAGCATGTTTATCGTATCCTTAGTTATAAAGCGCCACTTTCGCCACACTTCGGAGGCACGAAAAGTAGCGTTTTTCATGCATGAGTTACATAAAGTCATTTAAAGTTCATTAAAACGAGTTGTTTTCTTAATATTTTCTTATATGCTAGATGGTAATATGTAAAGAAGAGGACGATCAAACTACCACGGATGAAGAATCTCCTGTGAGACAAAAGAAGAAGGACCCCAACAAAGTTGACAAGAAGTTCCTTTGGCCTCATGGCATAACTCCTCCAACTAAAAATGTGAGAAGACGTCGGTTCCGCAAGACATTGAAAAAGAAGTATGTTGAAGCACCAGAAATAGAGAAAGAAGTTAAGCGTCTGCTGAGAGTGGATAATGATGCAGTTAATGTAAAGTGGGAAGTCATATGTGAAGATGAGGATCAAACCAAACCAAATAAAATTTCTTCGTCTGGTATAGTAAAAACCAAACGCGAGAATATCGATGGAAGTACATCACAAAGTGTTGATGTTGGTGAGTGTCAGGCTTATTGTGTGTATTATTGAATTAGTATGCATGGGTTAACTTCATTTTTATTTTTAGCCGAGCATGATATATTTGGAGAAGCTGTCAGTGATAGCGAAGATGATGATGAGGAAGCAAATATTAATGTCATGGAATTGGATGAGAATAGTCGTTTATCTGGTGATAGTCGAGTGTCTGATTCAAACTCTATGCAAGTTCGATATTCAGAACGATCGGGCAATAATGTTTCTGTGAACAGTGGCCTCATCACAGAATTTAGCAAGGAAATGTTCCAAGGTGATGGAGATGGTGAAACAGATGCTGATAAATCTGTTAATGATCCATCGAAGATACCAAAAATAGAACAGTTCCATTCAGAATATATTATTCCAGACAGTTATTCAGAATCACAATCTATGTCCATGCCAAAAGGTATTTTATTAGTAAAATGGCCAATATATTTTTTTTTCAAATTTAATACCATTTATCCTATTGCTTTAGATTCGTTGCAAGCGCGACTTGAAACATTACACGCCGAATTAGCAGAACTACGTCAACGACGACAACAGCAAGAGATGGAGATTGCTAATATCGAAAATTTTAAATTAAGACAACGATTCCAGGAAATATTAGATAATTTGGTTAGCCAAGAAATGCAGAAAGAACAAGAGGTAAGTAAAGTATAAGTAGTTTGAAATACCAGAGGTAACACATTTTTTTTTCAGATTCAAGATTTGGAACTGGAATAATGAACCTATGGACTTAATAAATATCAATATCTATATATAAATATCTTACTACAATAAACTTACACATTAACAGTATAATTTTAATCTAATAATTGCAATCATTTATAATAATTATATTCTTCGTTGAAATCCTGCTTTTCAATTTTTTATGAAGATAAATATTTTCTACCATACAATTGAGCTTTTTTCTCGAAACCAACTGATTTGATGGGTGTATTTATCTTATAAAAGGGATTCATGGAATACTGAAAAAAATTGTATTGTCACTATTTAATTATAAAACATGTTATTATTAATATAATTTTCCTTCGTTTCACTTACCTTGATATATGTTTCATACATTTCATTAAAGAAATTCTTTATACCATCTTCGTTCTTGCTGTCATGAACCATTACGAAGCGAATGTGAGTAGCAGTAACAAAAGCACTTACAAACCATTGATTAAATTTATCCACAACTTTCAAATGCATATTTGTAGTTTTCCACATATGTTCATCAACTAAATCTAATGCGGCATGAGCAATAAATTGACTTAAATGTGCATGGTCCTCTTTCTGTAAAAAATATCAGTAATAAGTACCTGTCAAATTGAAAAATATTTGTGAAGATAACCTCTGAAAATCATACCTTAGTATCTTTATTAGAATTATTAAATTCAATCTCAAACAAAGGATTATCCGCATGTCCGATAATAGCAAAATAATAATTTGCAGACATTATTAAAGTTTAAATTGTCTCTTTTCACAATAAGACAAATTTATAAGGTAATGCCCAGTGTACAACTGTAAGCTGACATTTTGAGATACGAATTAACACGAATCAGTACGAGTACAACCCGAAGCTTCCCGTGGTTCCTCACGCTAGAGACAAACGTCGTAGGCCACGAGAATCTCATACCCTTCGGTGGTGACAAAATTACCTTTGTTACATTTCAGTATTATAAATAAATTCGGCCCCACACAAGAAGTCTCAAGCTCGAAGAACATAGAGAAGAGAATAAACCAGAAGAAATCTAACAACCGGCTCTTGATAGTATCGAATTCCTGTTAGCCGGTAAAACAGCATTATTAAGGATCTTATTGTGTCTATAGAATAAAATGTCAACTTAGTGACCTTGAACATCATCCTGCGAAACTAAAATAAGAAGAATCGTTTCTCTTTGCGGGAAGGAAGAGTTTGTATCTAAGGAAGCACTGTGTCCCAGAACACTTTATAAGAATATTTTCCAATGATGCTGCAAATCGACGACAAGAAGGTGAGGTGCAAAGTTGTTCATTTTTATTGTCAAGGATACATTTCTAAAAACTGTCATGTAAGTATCTTTGAAAGGAACTAGTCTCTTGGTTCTTTTAATTGGGGCTAACTCCAAAAATTGATGGGCATCAGAATGAACTGATGTGTAATTATACATGTCCATTGATATTTCAGAAGTCCTCAGTTACCTGAGGGTATAGCAAATACAAAATTTGTTATTGCAAAAGGTCAAACAAGTACATTTAAGTATTGACATTGCCAAAGATCGGTGCTGCGATTACAACGAACCAAGGGTATATAAAGTAAAGAAGTACACATTTTTCTAAGACAATTACATAATTCAATGTCTTAATCATAAATAGAAATATTCTATAAATTTATCTCTAAGGCACATGCAAATTCTAATTATGGTCCTTGGAGGGGATTTTGGCCTTGTCTCTCAATTGGCTTGGCCAAAAGCCAAAATTTGTATAGCATCTACAGACACTATGTTGATATAACTATTTATGTTATATTTTAAATTAAGTAAAAATTGAATACAGCAACAAAGTTTAGTAACATATTAAACTAAAAGAGAGACTTTTTTAATCAGCTTAAAGTTATGCAATGAATCTAAAGAAACAAAATAATTTTGATCTCTTAACAACTCATTAAGAGAATCAAGCATGTATATCACTAAGGCATGCCTCACTGTATTGATATGTTATCAGCACTACTCTTTTGGTAATAGTCCAGCTGAAGATAGTTTGCATTGAGCTAAATTTTCCAATATACAGTGCTCGTTAACTAAAGTGAGTTTCTTAACAACAAGTACAACCACAAATATCTTGCTCTTGATCTGTGGTACTGTAGTAGAGTCTACCACATTTTTTATCTCGGTACCTGTTACATATAGAGTAACATGATATATATTAACATGGAAAAAAAAATGTGGCCCAAGTAGACAAACCTGTCATTTACGAAGTACACTGCGTATTATCTTCGTGCGCGGTATGTTCGTAACTTACCACACATTATTATTCTTACCAGCCCAGTAAATAATATGAGGTATACATGTCGCTCGTATAAAATTATCTAACTTTTGTCATGTAATTTGCAGTAGCTACATTATCTATGTTGTTATTCGATTGCAAATTAGATACACTATATCTCTAATTATTGGATTAGAATTTTCCTACATGGTTCAAATAATTCTGCATATTAACGTAATGGATTATTACAAGTCAATTACAGTAAATTGATATCGCAATTCTGCTATATCTTGATTTTTAAATTAATGTTGGCAGTCATTGCCCTTTCTTAAAAATAACTATCCAAGATCAATGTTATCAAGATACTTAGATATGATCTAGTTCAGTTGGCGAAAGATCCGTTGATATATATCTGATTAGAATTAATAATTTAGAGCAATGTTTAGAATCTGCATTTCATAACTACTGGAAAATATGAATCACACAGTAGTAATGAAGAAATCGCACGATAATTTTAGCCGATAGTAGTGGAACGTGATAAGAGATAATCTACAAGTATAAAATATGATTCTCCATCGTGGATTTTTTACAGTCGTCCTAAGCGTCGTCGGAACTCGGTATCGTCTCTGTCGCTAGTCTTGTGTAACTTATTCCAGTGCGGCTCCAAACGCTAGAGCCGTCGGTTGCGTTTCTTTCGTTATTAGTATCGAACGTTAATCAGCTAACTAAGTGATACTGCAGTGTATTGTGTACCAGAACACAAACGCGAAAACATGGATTTTTTGTTAAGAGTGAGTATACTGATTACATTGGTGCCATTCAAATCCCAAAGGCATATAGAGAATTTTGTAAAATATAAAAAATATTACGTTCATCATGCGTCACTTTATGTATCAAAAGATATAGTAAATCATGTAAAAATTTATAATTTCTTTTGACCAATCTCATAATCAGGGCTTATGTGTTTGTCCTAGGGAAATGTCAAATTTGTTACGTTTTTTTAAAGAATATTCTCGTAAAAAGGAAAGAATGACATAAGAAGTTTGTTTTTTATCTGAGAACTGATTACTTATGAATAGGCGAAGGTTACGAAATTGGTTAAGTGCGTTGTATATACATATGTATATTACATTAGATAGTACGCAGAAATTCTTTTTTTAATGACACAGTACAAAGTGCCAGCCTCCTCGTGTTCCTCGTTTGTGACGATGACCTCGAACTAGTCATGACCCTGTTCTATCACTGTAAAACAACGAGCGTTATTTTTATTTAAAATATAACACTCATTGCTTGTCGCATCCGAGAGACTGCCAACTTCTTCTTCTCCCAATCAATTCTTTCTAATCGTCAATGACGCACTTAAACAAAATTAACGAGTATAAAATTATCAGAGAACAGGAATTATTTCATTTATCGATTAATTATACGACATAATGATAAAAAAACAAGCTTGCGTTTCAAACGATTGAACTTTGCGTTATGTTACGCCTCTCCGATAACCATTGACCAACGATCGTGATAACTCAGATTAAATAATTCGTCGTCGTCAGCGATAACATTGATCCTTTATAAAATGTAATCGCCCAAGCAGTTTTCCAGCTCAGATGTTGTTGCATCTTGGTATCTAAAATAATGCGTACGTAGATACTACATAGCGGGTGGATTATTCTATGCACCAAAAAATTAAGAGTATTTAATTTTTTCCAATTTCGAAGGATCCTGGGATATAAATAAGATAACACAGTTGTTCGTGCCAAATTATTAGCTTCAACGAATCCCCATCTATTAGCTTTGATATAGTGTTGAAGTTTGAAATGTCAAGCAACATTTTTTCAATGAGAAATATATTTTTTAAGATTATCGATCGCACATCACTATTCTGTGGCTATGAGATATTTATTAGTTCTATAGAGAGTTAAACAACTGATCTTCAGAGGAATTGATTTTACATATTTCGAAACTGCATGCTAACTGTTGTCCGGCCACGATATCAGTTCCACTTTAAGGGGGCCATCCTCCCTATGGAACTAAATGGAGATAAGTCCCTTAAACGTGGGACTGATGTCACGACCTAACTATTCATCTTGTTAGTGTTTATGTCATGAGCAATCGTTATTAGTAAAGCGATGGAAATACAATATGTTGTAGAAAAAGACATTCGTCGCGTAGAGAAAAGGAATTCGTATAAGCTTCGTTGAAGCGTGATAAATACGAAATGTAGTTAGAGCGTCTAACAAAATTTGTAGGGATATAAGTAAGTTATCAGGAAATTATCAGAAGATAGAAGCAATATATCATAGCAGATTTTGGATGCTGGTCTACCAGTGTGGGTCGCATTATACATCAATGAGGCCTACAGTGGAGGTTAAAAATTATTCTTCATTACAATTTAGTAATTATAACGATATTCAGTCTTCGAATCATTTACTTGGGAAGTAATTCTGCAGAATGTTCTACATAAGTTTATTGAAATACGTACTTTTGATTGGTCATGCATATCACAGTTCAGTGATTCCCATTTTCATTAAGAAATTTCAGGTGGGGCTATTTTTCTCAGTAGTCATCGCAGCCAGACATGAGGTTACCCTAAACCAAAAGAGTTTTCTTTTTGAGTTTTATATTTGTTGTACAATCAAATCTTGAATGAATATTCCAGACACGAGGTCATCAACGTATGCCTTCTGGCACTCAGGAATTCCGGGAGAGGACCAAACGAGATGCTCAGACGGAGATGCTGAAGGAGTTGGAAAGACTGGAAAACACAGCCGTCGGTGCGAACAAGGAATTGTTTCATCGTCAATTCGCTGGCTTCGCTGAACTCTTTCATAGGTTTCTGCAGGAGGAAGGACCATCAGTACTATGGGAGCGTATAGAAAAATTACCAGAGAGTGCGGTAATACTTCTCCCCATTTCCTTTTGCAATTTAAAATGCAGTATGCTTCCATGTGAGATATTGTTCACAAACATTATACGGTTCTTGTACCCAGGTACGCGATTACAATACTCTTGTTGAACCATCAAATGAGGAAGTTAAAGCTATGCTGGATAAATTAATAGTCGTGAAATTAAATGGTGGTCTTGGTACAAGTATGGGGTGTCATGGACCAAAATCTATCATTGAAGTTCGCAATGAGCTGACGTTCCTTGATCTTACTGTTCAGCAAATTGAGGTATGTACCTGAAGAAGAAGATACAGATGGCTGGAAGGGTTTCTTTCTCTTTCGGTTGTTCACCAGGTTCTCTTTGCAGTATTTAAATAAAACTTATAACACCAACGTCCCACTTGTTCTGATGAACTCCTTCAACACTGACAGAGATACTCAAAAAATCATAAGAAAGTACAAAGGTTTAAATGTTGAAATTGTCACTTTCAATCAAAGCTGCTATCCACGTATCAATAGGGATTCATTACTTCCCATTGCCACACATTGCAACGTAGACGAAGCTATTGATGCGTAAGAGCTTTTTTTTTCTTTAATAATGTTAAATTTCTTTCTGTCGTATATAAATATTGATACTCTGTCACGATCTTTTTTAACAGGTGGTACCCACCAGGTCACGGTGACTTTTATGAGAGCTTTCAGAATTCTGGCTTACTGAAGAGGTTCCTGAACGAGGTAAGATCGTTATTTCCTTTAGTAACAAAAAAAGTATTTTAAGAAATAAATACCAAATATGGTAATTTAATCGCATTTGATTAATTTATTTAGGGTCGTGAATATTGTTTCATCTCTAACATTGACAACCTGGGAGCCACTGTTGATCTCAATATATTAAATCTTTTAATGCATCCAGACAACAACCAATGCCCAGAATTTGTCATGGAGGTCACTGATAAAACTAGGGCTGATGTTAAGGTACGGTATACTTATTAAAATAATGTTACATACCTATCCGCCTTATCATTATAAAAAGTCTTCCGTTACAGGGAGGTACTCTTATCCAATACGACAACAAACTTCGACTTTTGGAAATTGCACAAGTCCCCAAGGAACACGTTGATGAATTCAAATCCGTCAAAAAATTCAAGTTCTTTAATACCAATAATCTCTGGATTAAATTAAGCGGTAGGTTTGCCCTAACTCCGTATAAAACAAGAAAGTGTTTAAAAAATCCTAATTGTTTTTTTATCACAGCAATTCAAAGAGTATTGGATGAGAAATCATTGAATCTGGAAATCATAGTGAACAACAAAGTCCTTGAAAGTGGTATAAATGCTATTCAGTTGGAAACAGCTGTGGGAGCAGCAATGAAATCTTTCGATGGTGGACTAGGTACATAATAACTGACAATATTTACAGCTGCTAAACATATCCTAAGTAGTACAAGAAAACCTTGAATACAAATCTCCATTTATACTCTCTAGGTATCAATGTGCCACGTAGTAGATTCTTACCAGTAAAGAAAACTTCAGATCTGATGCTGGTCACCAGCAATCTTTACAACCTGAAGAATGGCTCCCTGGTGATGAGTCCACAGCGCATGTTCCCCACAACACCATTGATAAAACTTGGTGATAATCATTTCTCAAAAGTGAAAGACTTCCTTAGTAGATTCGCAACCATTCCGGATCTTCTTGAACTAGACCACTTGACAGTCTCAGGCGATGTCACCTTTGGTAGGGGAGTCTCTCTCAAAGGAACAGTCATCATCATTGCTAATCACGGTCATCGTATCGACCTTCCTTCTGGCACCATTTTAGAAAACAAAATAGTCTCTGGCAATCTTCGTATTCTCGACCACTAAGAATCGAACCTCAGTTCTTGTTTCATTTCCTCTTCGCGAGTGGACCTCAGAAGAGCCCATACAATTGTATAAAAAGAAAAAAGAAAAAACCGATACTGGCTTGTCGCAACTGTACATTAGGAGTCACTAGAATTATTGTTAGCAATATGTTTAATTGTACATTATTATACTGATAAATTGTATCATATTTGACATGTAATGTGGAGAAAATCGCTGTTAAAAAGAAACAGCAAACACCTCAAACAGTTCTTGGCTATCTTCATCGTTTTGTTCTTGTTAATAAATAATGTTTTCCTACTTCAAATCGAAGTTTACCTGTCTCCTTGTATTAACAATATAATATTTTAATTATTTTTTGTTACTCATTCTGTCTGTCAATTCTTGGTAAACTACAGTCCAGTCAGTAGTCTCACGTCTGCGTACGCATGGTAACGCACGTAGCGTTTATACAAAGGTCAGTAGGCACCTAGGACGGTCAGTTTTAGTTATTCAACTTGCGATTATTACAGTTATCATTCACATAAGTTGCTAGACGAACGAGTCCTGCGGTATGGAAACAACACAGATAAGAAATGCACGTAATTTAATTCATAACTACGCAATGTTTCAATGATTATACACATAACCTCTGTGTACCAATGTAACTATGATATAGCTTACTGAAGAACATTTTTCTTTTACAGTTTAAAGATTTTTTATTGCTTTATAATCAAATTTCTGATACGTGCTTCAGACGATGCGCGAATACCTTTAATTCTAGAGATATTTCTCCTGACGAGGTAGGCTTTATTCATCTTATTAGATTTCTCTACTTAAATGATTTAAAATGAATAAGCATTATTTCAGGAATTTTGTATAAACAACTGCGCACAGAAACATATTAATGCTAACCACAGGGTAATGGAGGTGTTCATGGAAGTACAGCCTACATTAGTAAATAAGAGGATAGAGGAAATGAATGCTGCACAAGCTCTCATCGATGCTCAACAAGAACAGCAAAAGCTAGAAACTGTTGGATCTAATGAAAGCTTGCAAGAAAATAAGGATTTGCTTGTTACATAGAAATTTCTGTATATAATTTAAATACAAAGACTTGTTATATTCTTTACCTGACACTGTCTCGACAAGTTTTATTTATGTTAACCAGAATGTTGGGAAATGGAATATGATCTTGGAAAGAAGTAATACATATTTGTTTTGAATTATAATGCAATTGTTGAGGGTCACTCTGCGAAATATACTTTACATAGAAATTCGTCTTTCTGTGCATTATACTTGGAAATCGGCAACAGGTGCATTATATAAGCCTTCATTTATTCATAAGAATGTGTATATACACAATATACACACGATACTGTAAGCCTCATTATAATATATATATATATATTTATGTTTAATAACTTAATCATCAGGATGCTACATTTACATAATTATTTGTCATAGGTTCTTCAGCAAAGTTGCCGATTTACAAGGCTGAATATGAAAGTGTATCGATTTATTTTAACGTTCCTGCTATAACTGATTTAGAATAACTCAAATTAAAATACAACGATAACACAAAAATCGTAGAGAATGTTACTTCTGTTATTTAATATCTAAAAAGATGATATACATATGTCTAGAACGATACCTCAAAAAAGGGTATACTTTATGTAAAACACCGTCATTGTTATCATCCACGTCAGATAAGGTATGCATCACACGTTATGATTAATTACACTGGTTTCTCCTTTTATGAATAATGAGATCATTTCAACGCTCAAGGTATGTACAGAATATTGAATAGTATTCAGTATTTTCTGATGGATGTGAAGTTATCAAATAGAAATCTCGACGCTAAACAAAATTTATAATGAATTTATATTAATTCAGCAACTTAGCAAACAAGATCAACGTGGTAATAATTTGTATACTAGTTATTTATGGGAAGGATGCCATATCAGTTACACTTCAAGGGGTCATCTCCTTATAACTTAAAATGTAAATAAGACCTGTAAACGTGGAATTAATATTGCTACCTGCACATGCATGAATTGGCATCATCTTTGCAAGTTAAATGGAAAACTGTGCTGGAAAACGTACAAGTATACCTCAGAAAACCATTAGTGTCAAAAGCGTGATTGAGGAGTGACTAGTTTTGCATCTTGGAATTTCATCGCTATTTATAAATATACGATGAATCTAAAGATTTCCTTATATCTTCTATTTCTGGTTTAAATGTCCATCAATTTTTAAACACACAAGCATAAAACGAGCCTTGAGAGAACGAACAAACTTTTATGTCTAGCAAAAGCATTAAAACAGAACGAGGCCCAACCCTTTTTTTTCTGAAAGGGTCACTCCGGCTGGCCGAGTTAGGTAATCTGTAGTACATTTAGTAATTAGAATCTTCATTTTTAATATCAGATACCTGTTGACATTTGAGTTTAAATTATTCTTATCATAGATTGGGAATTCATGGCCAAGTTTTTCAGTAGGGAATGTTATTTTAAAATCAAACACTCCTGGAACATTTTCCCATATATCAATGTCCTATTAATATCATTTAGACTCTGCGAAATCCGATCGCAACACGAAACAGTACCTTGTCGGTAGGATGCTGATAAATCGTTAGAATTGATAAACTGACTGATAAGCACCAAAATCCTCTCCTGGTGATATCAATTTTCTTCTTTATTGTTCGAGCCAGGAAGGCAAGGATGAATTTGGTGACTTTACTTTAATGTTAAACTGCTTAAGAGTTGCTTCCAAAGCTGTTTGATTACCAGAAAAGTAGGCTGAGACTGCATTGTGGAATAAAAGTAATTGCTTATGCATCACTTTAATCTGTGCGAAGAAAAAATATTAGGTATATCAAAAAAATAAAAGTAATTATAGTGCATAGGAAATTTAATGTGATTCTTACTCTGTTTTCATCAAGGAATTTCAATTTGATAGACACGTCAGATCGTAGTTTTTCAAAATTTTGTTTGTGTTGCTCATAATTCGATTGAGCCTCTTCCATTCTGGCAGCACTGCTCGCATCCGTTTTTGCAACTAGCGCCAGCGCTTCTAAATCAGTTCTGTATGCATCATACTCTATCCTACATAAACAAACAATTTTATACTCTGTGAATCCCGAAAGTAATGAAGACTATCAATAGTTTACCTGGCTGTTTCGTATTGTCGGACAGTAAGCAGGGTGTCTTCAATTGTTTTGTTACAGAGAGTATTCACCGAGGAAACAAAAAAGTTCAAGGCTCCTAGTAAAGTTTCACCATTTTTAGTCAAATTTCGCTGCGTTTCCGAATTGTACAGAAATTCCTCTTGCAATTCCGGTGATTTCTGAGCCAGTTCGGAAAATGCTTCTCCGAGAGCATGTTGTGTTTGCACTACGTGATGAAAGTGAGATGCCAGTGCACGTGACAGACGTAAAATGTTACAATATTTTCTTTGAGTATCACGCAATAGCTCTATCTGAGCTTCAAGTTCTGTAAAATAGAAATGTATTAAAATTTCTAATAATGAAGATGATCCTACACTTTCAAATCTTACCAGAGTCTACAGTGCGTGATGTTTTTCCCAATTTCTCGTACATAAGCTGTTTAGTGCACTTATATGTTGAGATACTCCAGTTTTTGATACTCTCAATTTTACTTTGTGCAGAACGCATTGTCTGTGCATCTCCATTTTGCAAGGGAGTACCTGGTGACATACTCACTGCTGTAGATATAAATATATACAGTTTTAATAATTTTGTTAAACATTACAGATTAAAGGATCGAATAAAACATACAGTTTTGAGATGTTGGGCTACCAAGTGGTAGGGTCATAGTTGCTGGTCTTGCCTGACTGGCTCCAACGAGGTTGTTGGGCACATGTGGTGGCGGAGTTCCTGTGTGTACTGCGTTCTCACTTTCATTAAGAGAAGGTGCATCTTTTAACATTTCATGGATACTGCGCTCCATTCCAGTGGATGTTACAGCAGTTTGTGACATTGTGCCTGGAAGATAGACACACATGATCCAAGGTTCAATTAGTACTATATGTATCATCATTGCCCCACTGATGTTTGTACCATCTTTAAGATCATTTTACCACATGTGAATCAATGCCAGAATAAATGCAGTACCATAACTTTGCACCATACATACAAATGTTTGATCTGGAGTTCAACAATATGAACAGAAACAATTCAGAAATTACATTATAATGTACAGTGAACATTTCTTTTTTAAACAGCTTATTTTAACAAAGTACAAATGTAAAAATGCCTTATCTTATCAAAAAAAAGTGCGGAAAGGGAACTCCTACAGTAACATACTAAACCAATAAATTATGAAAAATTGGAATAACCTCGAATACTAAAATTCATACTGAATATCCCATTTCTATATGGAAACATGGAAGTCGAGTAGTAACATTGCGAGTATGAAGGCTCAATGATGAAGAAGTATTGAAGTTGCTTATACTTACAACAAAATTAATGACCGTTTCTCCGTTACCTTCTATGCGTGTCACGCTCAAAAATTCTGACAAGGGTTGATTCTATGACGTCATGTCTGAAAAGTCAAGAGGGGCGTAGTGCGTACCTCCAGAAACACTCTAAGAACTGCTAAATCCATAATTCGATTTATTCGGTGTAAGCGGTTAGGGGTGTACCCTTTGCTTCCTATTGTGAGCACAAAAGATCTGTTATGAGAGAACTCTTCACTCTTAGTTCAATGCATATTCTTAATAAGAATTATCGGCTTTTTAACAGCAATGGAAGCACGGCTCCCTCGTGAAGTAGCGCACAACACTCTATAGGTAGCTATCTCAACATCACCTGCGCGAAGTTGGCCGGCCAACTTTTATTTTTTAAACTTTTTTTTATTCCAATCGTTTGATAGTCGTTCGATAGTGTTTGATAGGCTTGTAAAAACGTTTGATAGTCATTAGTCTTTTCAGAAAATCAAAATCAAAATCTGGTGTGAAGTTGGCCGGCACTTTTTTGTTTCTAACCGATAGTCTTGTAAAAACGTTTGATAGTCAATAGTTTTTTTAGAAAATCAAAATCAAAATCTGGTGTGAAGTTGGCCGGCATTTTTTTGTTTCTAACCGGATTTTGTTTTTCCGGAGCTCAATCGATGCAAAATCGTTTGATAGTTGCGAATTAATTAATAAAAACGTTTGATAGTCCATCGTTTGCAAGAAAAATGAGAAAAACTATATGCGAATCAAGGATCCCAATCGATACGATACAATCGATTCCTCGATCGGTGTGTCCATTGACTTAGACAATAAACTTTTTCTACTTCCAATCGTTTTACAAGACTATCAAACACTATCGAACGACTATCAAACGATTGGAAGTAGAAAAAATTTGCAATATAGTCTAATTCAACGGATACACCGATGGAGGAACCGATTGTATCGTATGGATTGGGATCCTTGATACGCATATGGTATTTCTCATTTTTCTTGCAAACGATGGCCTATCAAACGTTTTTATTGATCAATTCGTAACTATCAAACGATTTTGCATCGATTGAGTCCTGGAAAAACAAAATCCGGTTAGAAACAAAAAAATGCCGGCCAACTTCACACCAGATTTTGATTTTGATTTTCTAAAAAAACTATTGACTATCAAACGTTTTTACAAGACTATCAAACACTATCAAACGATTTGAGTAAAAAAAAGTTTAAAAAATAAAAGTTGGCCGGCCAACTTTTATTTTTTAAACTTTTTTTTACTCAAATCGTTTGATAGTCGTTCGATAGTGTTTGATAGTCTTGTAAAAACGTTTGATAGTCAATAGTTTTTTTAGAAAATCAAAATCAAAATCTGGTGTGAAGTTGGCCGGCCAACTTCACACCAGATTTTGATTTTGATTTTCTGAAAAAACTATTGACTATCAAACGTTTTTACAAGACTATCAAACACTATCAAACGATTTGAGTAAAAAAAAGTTTAAAAAATAAAAGTTGGCCGGCCAACTTCACGCAGGTCTCAACAACGGACTGAAATAACTTTCCTGCGGTTGGCCATTCTGAATTTAAATGAAATTACTTTTTCTATTTCCAAGATTCATTGTATTTATTTTTATTTTCACAGAATATACCTCTACTATAGAACATGGCAATGTCCAATGAACTACTACAAAGGAATGATTCAATATTTGGTAATTATAAATATTGTTTGGATTTTGTTGAATACTGTGATTATACGTTATTTTAATTTCAAAATTATCAGCCACCACTGCCTTCGATCTAAAGAATGAAGAGAGTTATTTAACAACAGGCTGCTCCAAGTTTGACCAATTTCTCAGAGGTGGAATTCCTAAAAAAGGCATTTTGCAAATCTATGGAGAATCTGGTATAGGAAAGACTCAGTTAGCCCTACAACTGTGTCTTACTGTGCAAGTACCGGAAAGTGAAGGAGGTGCTGCAGCTGGTATTTATCACTGTTTATTTTTTCAATAATCTTCTATTATTCCAATTATTGCTATGCCGACTGAAAGTTATAAATTATGTTCACTTTACAGCTGCTGTTTATATATGTACTGAGGATACTTTTCCATCAAGACGTCTACAGGAATTATTAACACAATCGCAGTTGTCAAAAAAATGTTGTACAACAGGTGATTCCATATTTGTAGAACATGTGGCAACAATGGTACAAATATTTTTATACAAAAATAATATATAAAGTCTACTTTACTAATTATTATAATCTGTACAAAGGAAGAATTGGAAGTTTGTGTTATCCAAAAAATACCACTGCTTATAAATTCAAGAAAAATTGGGTTGCTTGTGATTGATTCAATCGCTGCTCCATATCGGGCAGAATATAATGATAATGAATTAAAAAAAAGAGCTAAGAGTTTGAGAAGTATTGGACATCAATTGCATAAATTTGGTAGTGATTATACTATTTCCGTCGTTTGTATCAATCAGGTATAGTTTTTTAAAATTCCCTGTAATACAATTGTATTCTCTTTAAGCTGTTACAACTGTGTATATTCATTAGGTATCAGCAGTAATTGGAAGTAATATCCAGGAAGACATTCATAAAAAACAGCAACCAACATTAGGAATTATATGGGCAGGAATGATAACAAATTCATTGCAATTATACAGACAAGGAAAACGCCGTTATGCCTGCATGGTGGTATCACCCTACTTGCCCAGAAATGTATTAGAATTTCGGATCACAAGTGCTGGTGTAACTGGAATCACTTAAGAATGTAAAGTGCTTTTATGGTGGCAATAAATGGCAGTGATTTTTCAATGTATTAAATTTTATTTTCTTACATTAAAAGACCCACGTCAGAAAATGTATTCTCGTCTAAAACTCGCACGAATTCAGTCGGTCTCCAACAATTCCTTGAGTTAGATGTAACAAAAGGATCAGATGTTCTAACATCTAAATCCTCCAGTGAAGTTTTTAATATTAATCTAAAATAATCAGTCAGTTATACGAATTATTCTTGCTTTTGATCAAGATCTTAATGTAAAATTAGGCCAATTTTACCTGAATGAATGCAAAAACGTCCTATATGGTTCAATATCCTGTTTTTCGCTATAAGTATAATCACCTATTATTGTATGACCTATGTAAGCACAGTGGACACGCAGCTGATGCCTACGACCAGTTTCTGGATACAATAATACTTTGGTTGCAGGTTTATTGTCCCTAAAGCCACGCTCAAGAACTAATAATGTTGTATAGGATTCACGAGGTTTTTCGCAATATACACTGTCTATTGTACAAATCTTGTGATTACCATCCTTCTCACGAATGTCCATTCCTACAGAGAAAGAATAGTCCTATTAAATTAATGAAATTTTTGTAATATATATTTGTATAGTCAGTCATGCTAACCGATTGCCTTGTCAATTATAATATATGGTGACTGTATGTGTCCATGTACTAATGCTAAATAATATTTTTTTACTTTTCTATTGGCAAAGGCATTTGCAGCTGCTCGTGCAGCTTTCTTATTTAAAGCAAGGCATATCACCCCACTGGTGACATAATCTAGCCTGTGCACAAAATGAAAATCATGACACAGACTTGGGTTCACCAAATTGGGAAATCGTTTTCGTACTTCAGCCTGAAGACTATGCTGAAATTAATAATGTACAATGATACATTCTTATTAAAAGACAAACATGTCTAAATATATAATAGTTCATAAGGAAATATATTCTTATGTAGAAGTACCTTCAGGTCAGGGTTGTCAGAATTGATAACCATATCATATGGCTTGCTTACAACAAGAAAATTATTGCTGTGATACAAAATTTCCAGATGATTCTGATGATCATTTGTAAGCAATGATTTTAGAAAGTAGAGTTTAGAAAATGGATATCCTATTATTTTCTTTGGTAAATTATAAATAAATGTTCCAATCTTAAAAAAGTATGAACGCATTTTGCGTTTATTTGGAGTTACAGTCTTCAAGAAACGAAGTAATAACGAAAAAGCGTACAATTGTATTTTGTAATAAAGTTTTGTCGGATATTCAAGAAATACCCTACATTAACAGGAAAATCACAAACAAAAATTCAATTTAAAATTTGTACACAGTTCCGTGTATAACCAGTGAACATTTACTCTTCATGATGATTCAAAGACGTGAGACATTGATACCAGATAACTGATACCTATGGCATATTTTTGTTACAAAATTGTAACTCATAGAACTAGTATTGTAAAACAATTTTGTATTCGATAATCGATTATATCAATTTATCCAATTTTAACAAACAAATCACCAACTGAAGGACCAATTGGCGCAAAATTATTTGTATTCGTAAATCTATGAATCACAAAGTTCCAGTTAGTTCTCTACAGGCCGATTGTGTAACTCAAATGTAGTGAAAATCACAGGCAACTTATGTGAAAATGCTAAAAGTGAATAGTTGTTAGCCAATCGTTGTGCTTGTCTTCTTTTAATCCTAATGCGCGATTAGCTAACAGGTATAAACTTATCCTATTTCACTATATTTGAGTACACAATCGACCCCCTACTGTTTATGAAAGCCAATAAAAATTGCATTAATAAAGCTGCGATCAGTTGGAAACTGTCTAAGACAGCAATTTTACCAATCAGATTTATTTTCTTTCACAGGTCTAGTTTACTGGCTTAGTTTCCACCGTGCAGGGTTGAAATAGAGTTAACCAATCAAGTTAGCTTATTCCGCTCAAATCTCGTTTTTAATTGGTTAACTCTATTTCAACCCTACACGGTGGAAACTAAGCCATAGATGCACCAATGGAACATCCTGAGCAGCCTAAAGCCCATTCTACAATGGCAAATTGTCACTAAGCGGTTGTCGTATGTCGTTTCTACAAGCTAATCGTAAAATTGAAACATCGGAGAAAATAAATTTAATTGGTTTATAAAATTTACTTAAATGACTGATGTTTATGACGCTTACGACAAATTTCTACTGATAATGTTCCATTGTAGAACAGGTTTAAGCATAGATGAGTACTCATCTCTGGTTTAAGTAATGATATTCATAACTACTATTTTTTTTTTAAACTGATAACTAACGGTCGTTTGGTTGGCAATACTGATCCTGGCGACTTGACTAGACCGTTTGAAAGTAAATGGCGTGCATGGTAATAAGACTGTGCCGAGTATCATTTTGACTTATTTTAAACAGAATTCCGAGTGAAGTAATATTGCGCTTCTATTGTGTTGACGTAGAAAGGAAGAGTGGAAGGATGTTTCGCAAGAAAACACAAGTTGATCGACACGTGCAAGATGTTTTACAGAAATTAAAAACTGAAGATGAGGTGAGGTTACATGTAGCCGATTAAAACGTTACGCCATGTCGGCTCGCGGGATCCGGCGACCGCCAACTTTTATGCCACTAGCATGTTTATGCTTTTTTATTGCGCTTTAGACACAAGATTCAATGCATTTTATCATTTTCTTTCTTTGTGATATTTGGGATTGCTTAATATGATTATAACTATTTATAGAAATTGACTTGCATAATTTCGTACGCATCTTCCTATTATTCACCCTTGAAACCTTGAGTCAGAACTTGAGACATATACTGACTATAACTAAATTAGATTTTAACGAACACGTGGTGTTCATAAATAGTACATGACAATTGAACAACGTTTTGCAATCCTTGGCCTCTCAATACTAGTATTTAATGTTTCCTTTAACAATGTTTACAATGTAGTATTAATACAAGCTACATTATTGAAAAGTAGAAAGAATAATATTGGATCTGTTTTGCTTTGTAGAAAAAACTACGTCATTACAACTTTGCTAAGTTATACTATCAAGTAGGAGAGTATGAATCAGCTAGGAAATATGTGTCCAGCTATTTGGAAGTACGTGAGAATGTACCAGGTGCATATAAGTTGTTGGGACAAACATTAGAAGCATTAGGTCAGAAGGAAGCTGCTCTTGCTCAATATAAAGCATCCCTTGAACTTGAACCTAAACAAGATAATCTGGTTCTAAAAGGTAAGAAAACCCATGTATTGTTGAGATAAATAAATCAATTTCTTTGCATTGTATCAACGTTAACTATTTTTATGATATGCGTATGTCTAGTCTGCGACCTGCTAGGTGATATGAACATTGAAATGGATGTTGGTATGGCAAGATATTGGGTTGAGAGAGCCGATAGGCTATTTCCACACCATCCACTTGTATTCCAATTAAAGGAAAAGCTCTTGACTATCGATGGATCCAACGAAGATTCAGATGACCTTGAATCACTCATAGCTTGTAATTATTACACTATTCTATTATCTATTTTAATATACAGTCATGTCCCTTAATAGATAATGGATCCAGAACCTAAGTTTTTCGATATAGAACTGAACATCTCTTTTTTGATTTACTTCTGCAAGCAGCATACAGGCCATTGGATAAGACATTTGTTGGTAACAACAGTGAACTGCTGTGTGCCCATGGGCTACTGAATTAGAAATGAGAACAAATCTGTTCACTATTAATAGATAAAAATATGAATGGATATACTATTTAGGGGTCTGACTTTGTATTCCAATATTTTTTCGAATTATATGAATTTTAATGAATATCAGTGAACATCAGCGAACTGTGAAATGATTTTTCTTTTCTTAGCTGAACTATCAGCCAGACCAACTGATGTTAATCTACGCGTAAAGCTTTTACGCTATTACATGGAAAAAAATAGACTTGAGGATGCTTATAAACACGCATCAGCCGTTGAGGCTCTTCATGCACACCGTGATAATGTCGATTGGTATCAAATGCTCTGTGAGCTTTTTGGCAAGTGCAAGAGATTAAAAAGTCGTGATTCTTCATTTTGGATATTGTACCTGTCATCACTAGAACGGTATGCAGCTTTAGCATTAAACGAACAAGGAGATGGAATTAGGACAACCGTACCTGTTGCCGCTATGGCAGTATTGAAGTAAGGAATTCACATTTCAGTTAGTAGCACTAAACTAACTAATAAGATTATAACAAATAATCCACTTGTCTTGTTACAGTTTTGATCAGATGTTGACAGAAGCAAAGCAGCGCAATCTTCCTGGCAATCACACCTTCACAGAGAGCATGTTCACGCACATGTGGGGACAGTTGCACTTTCATTTGGCTTCCTTACTCCTACGCAAAACAAAAAGAGAACAAGGTAGTTGGGCCGAAGCTGGTAGACTTTGCGCGCCACTACTTTTTATTGCATTACATGTCACTCCGTTGGATATTACCGCACCTTGGGCCACACAACTAAAGGATATATGCAAGACTCAAGTTCAGCTTTGGTATAAGGAAGGACATTATAGATGCAGTCAAGCTGGACATGTTCTTCATGATTATGCACGAAATGATACCAAGAGATTGCTTGATAAGATTGATAGGTTCTGCAGTGGTGCTTGGAGGGAACGGGTTTATCATAGAATATTCGAAAGTAGAATGCAGCAAAACATGGTGAAGACATCCTATTTTGCAACACACATTGCACCTAGTCCTCCATTGCGACTATGCTCTTATTCCGAACTCAAACGTTATGACGAAGGTATTCAGACATGTTCTAATGAAACAACCAATTATCTGAACATTATTCAATTAGACTTATTCTACAGTTGCGGAGGAAGTTTGGCCAGCTTCTTTACATCATCATGTCTGGCTCGGCTTACGGAGTCGACCTCATTACTCGCACAACAACAGCAAAGAGAATAGCAGCATTCATCCTCATCAGTACTGCCACGTTTTTCCGGATTTACAATTCTCTGTCTACAATCTTCAAAAAGCAGCTGCAGAATCTCTCAGTAGGCTGGACATTGACGCTTTCCTCAATGCTGCAGGTTAGTCAGTTTTAAGATTTAGAAAAGTAGTGAGCACATTCTTAGTCAGTAAGCCATTGTGTGGTGGGCGCAAATGATGAGCGCGAGAGAAATGAAAATAAAAAAAGGAGGGTTGTAACTAATTTTCCCTTCTGGTCGAAGCATGTTCGTATGTATGTATGTATGTATGTGTACGGTTGTGCGACAGTTTTGTGCGCCTCGGTGGTTGTTGAGGAACAACAGCGAAGTGGATTCTTGAGTCCTGACAAACTGCCAACTCTGCCAGCCGACATCACCAGCACGCTTTGTACCAATGCTCAAGAGAAGTGGTGGGTATTATTTACGTCTTTTTTTAGGTAGAATCTTCAAAGAAATTCCGCGATTGAATTATACAGTTAGATAGTCAGGGCGGTTCTTTGGAGAGCCGTTTCCGTTTTGATTTCTTTTTTCTTTCACTTTATCACGGAAAATCACTGATAATTGCGTACATTATTACAAGGTTTTGACTAGGTCAAATGAAGACTTTCTACTTATGCGTTCAGGTGGTCCTCGGCGTACAAAATGTATCGCGAGCAGGATGCTGGAGAGATAAGACAAATTATTCAACAAGGATTAGAAGTCGTACGCTGTATTGGAAGTCATGGCTTGCATTCAACGATTTTGGTCCATCTTGCTCGAATATTTGGTCACAGGGTCAGTAAACATCTAGACTTGTCATTCTAAATAGAGTAACTTATTACATGTTTGTCTTAAATTTTATTTTCAACCGTTAGGTCAAAGTAATGAAGGGCAAGAATGCTGATGATGGTAACATTGCCGCCTTGGAAGCTCGCTGTGAGCTTTACTGGTCCGCTGCTGTGCCACTACTTGAAAGACTTCAGAACAACCAAATCATACGAACGTCTAGTTCCAAACTATTTGACTATCAAGGGTATGAATATTTTGAGTTATTGCTTGGAACATATGTCAGAATAATATACAATAATACTTTAAATAAATTTCTGTGCTCAGGAAGGAAATGAACAATGCTGAGCTTACGAATGCATTAGAAGAAGGTCGTTTACTCCTGGTTCAGAAATACATCAGAGAAAAGGAATACGAACAAGCGATAGAAGCTCTGAGAATCTTGAAATGTCCTGATGCCTCCTTCCAGCAGGGACAGGTATGCTCATTCTTGTTATTATTTTCTCATGAATCTTCTTAGGAATTATTTGTCTGTAGCAAATATTTGTATTTAGATTTACAAGAAACTTGCTGACGATCTCGTGAGCTCTCAACCCCCGGAAAGCTTAACATCAGAAATGAGATCACAGCACAGCATAATGCTAATAAAAGCTCGTGACTGCTTTTACTTGACATTAGATCGTCTACGTAGTCCTGGCTCAGACCCTAAGCATCGTTTAAACTCAGAACTCTCCACCTACATTTCTACTATTGAGAACGAGCTGAAACGAATCGATCCAGACTTATGGCGAGGAGATCGTATGTTTATTGGCTTTGAAGATTGTGATGAAGGAATCTTAGTACGTGCGGTATCAATAAACAACACTTTTTTTTCAGAAGTGCGTAACGAATGTGAATCCGATGAGAGTTACTCGTCGGCACACAGTGTCGCTGACCAACCTGTTACCAATAATTCTTTAATCGGGTTAGGTAGTTCCGTTCACATCCTGTGTACTCCTCAAAGGAGCGCTCATCGTACACCAAAGCAATCGAGTACTCCTTGCAAACCACAGCATCAGGATATTTTGGAACTATCTAGAAATCGTACGGTGAGTTATTCAGTTATTTCAACGATGACGTCATTCATATTGTTACAAAGACATTTTATTTCACTTTTAATTTTTGTATACATTCAAAAAATCCAGGAAGCACGACCCAGTCCAGAACGATTGGATGCGCAAATCCGACAACTGATCAGCTCAAAGGAGAGTAGCATCCAGGCATCAGTGGATCAGAACAAAGCTCTGGTGGAATTGCTGAACGCCGTCCTGGAATCGAGTAACGCATTGAAACAGCAAGTTGAAGAATTGAAGAAAGAGGTGGTGGAATTGCGTAAAGAGAACACTCAAAAGCAACATATTCAAAGTACAGTGAGTCAAAATCTTGACGAAGAACTATTCGCTCTTGGTGAGGAAGATTACGGCGATCTGAATTATGGTGTCAACGCATCGGCACAATCTGGAGGACCAGCTCCTGCCTTTCCTGCGAACGTCTTTGCTCAGTCTCAGAGACATCCTGTCTATTCGCCGATGGTTTATCCCTCGACAGCAGCCTTACAAGGCTATTATCAAGGCGGCTTACCATTTAACGATCCAACTACTCAGCATATGGCTCCTTTATATCCACCTGTGTACTCTATGACTACTCTGTATCCTCGTCCAACTGTTGAGCAGTCTATTGGAGTCTTACCAAAAATACCTGAAAGTGTTATACAGCAGGGCTTCTTTGGTGGCGGGGCACGATTACCTAATCAAATGCCTGAAATTGTGCCGTTAGCTGTCAGTCAACCTGTTCAAATGCCACCGCAACAAAAAGTTGAGATTCCTAAGAACGAAATCGTCATAAAGGATGCTCCGGTGAACAAGGTACCTCCAGTCAATGTCGTGATAACAACGTCTGACACTCTACCAACTACAGCACCTTCAATACAGCCGACTCTGAGTGTAACTATACCTGCGCATCATAGACTGGGTGGTTCGACTAGTAAAGCTAACGCGAATCCTACAAATGTTCCTCACAGTTATCAGATATCCATGCCTTCGCATGCTAATATTCCTACTACTGTCAATTTGCCACCATTGTCTGCTACACTTACCATTACTACTTCGGCGAATATGTCTGTATCAGAAAAAGCCAGTAGGCAGGACACTATCGTTTCTACAGGATCTGCGAATAACTCTAGTGAGTGGGTGGGCGAGGTAGAGCACGATCCCATACCTGACTTTCAACCTGTTATACCACTTCCCGCTGAAGTTGAGGTAACTACTGGCGAAGAGGGCGAAACTACTCTCTATTGTGCCAGAGCGAAGCTCTTCCGGTTTGTTGACAAAGAATGGAAGGAACGTGGAGTAGGTGATGTGAAATTACTGAAAAATAATGAAGGAAAAGTGCGGCTTCTTATGCGTCGTGATCAGGTGCTTAAGATTTGTGCTAATCATATGTTGCGGCCGGATATGGAGTTGTCGAAGATGCCTAGTAGCGACAAAGCCTGGATATGGGTCGCTAATGATTACGCCGATGAGGAAATTAGGTTGGAGAAGCTCTGCATCAAGTTCAAGACTGAAGAGGAGTCATTGAACTTTAAAGAACACTTCGATAAGGCCAGATTGTCTTTACCATCAGATTCCGCTACACCTACAAAGATTGTGTCTGAGGTGGAGAGTACAGCTGGAACAACCCAGCCCCAAATTACAGCGACGAATACGAAGAGCACTGCTACAATAAAGTCACCCGTCACAGTTGGTGGATTTTCATTTGTCTCGCAGCCAATTATACAGCCACCAAAAGAAACAGATTCTGCAAAAGCGCAGCAGACACCAGTCGAACCCACAAAAGTTAGTCCATTCCTTGGATTTTCGTTTATCAAGTCGGACTCAGCGAAGCCATTAAGTATTTGGACTGAGAAAAAAACGCAAGATACAACAACGTCAGCTTCGGCAGCAGCAACCAGTCTTATGCAACCAACTGCATTCTCGTTTGTGAAAACAACCGCGACTCCTGCTCCTATAAATTTCTCCTTTAAAAATTTGGCAGCTTCGGAAAGCTCTGCTTCGACTACAACAGTTGCAAGTGTTCCTGTAACAGTTGCTGCAACTGTTACTGCACCTCAACCTGGTCCTACTTTGGGAGCAATTCAGCCAACAACCTATTCAACTGGTGAGTCTATCTATAATACTAATAGGTTTACGACGCTAAATTGTCTGTGATAACATACTTTAATATAAAACTTTCTCTGAACTTCTGAGGCAAATTATTTCTGTGCCAATTGTAGGAAATTCTTCCTCAAATCCAAGCCCAAGCTTTCATACACGGATCTCATTACGACGACCCCACGCACCTGCGCCAGCTGAACTGGCCGCAGCTGCCGCTGGTGGTACGTTCCACTTCGAACTCCTCTCAGTATTTTACGTAGACAACTCAAGAATTCATAAACTATTAATGTTTAGTTATCTATTTTCCTATGTATTGTCCAAGTATCATTCGTAGAAAAATTATTGAAACTAGCAGAACGTAGAATTAGTAGACATTCCTTCGAATATTTCATTAGCAGTATCTCCTTCCAACCTTATAGTATTTGTATTGTATTTTTGTGTGCGTCCAAAATTGAGTTTATTGTTTGACTATATCGTTATCTCGTAGTATCAATTCCGTGCAATGTTTTAATAGGTGCCGGAAAGAAGGATGATACCAGGACATCTGACAATCGTCCCACAACTGAAGATGGACCATCGGAACCAGTTGAAGATTTTGTTCCGACAGCTGAATTCGCGCCAGTTATTCCTTTGCCAGATATTGTTGAGGTGGTAACTGGAGAAGAGGGAGAGACCGTGCTCTTTGAACAACGTGCTAAACTTTTGAGATTTAACAGCGAGACGAAAGAGTGGAAGGAACGAGGAATCGGAAAGATGAAGGTCAGTGTCTGATTTATAAAAATGGAAATTGAAACATTGTTTTCAGGGAAAATTACTTTCTTGTTTTTGGTTGTGCAGATACTACTTCATGTGGATTCTGGCAAAATTCGTTTATTGATGCGTCGGGAACAAGTACTGAAAGTTTGTTGTAATCATACTCTTCTTGCAAATATGAAATTCACTTTCATGCCAAACAGTAATACGTCCATTAGTTGGTACGCGCAAGACTATAGTGAAGGTGAAGTCAAAGGAGAAGCTTTTGCTATACGTTTCAAGACTGACGAACAGGTAAATGAATATTGGCACTGTTTAATTTTCTATTACGATAGATATATTTGATAAAGATTTTGTAGGGCGTATTTAACCAAATAGATAGGGACTGATTGTTTTTACTTACAGTCCTAAGTCTTAGACGTGAATGTGATACACTCGCAATATCATATTGACTAATGTCATATCGTTTTTATTACAAAGGCTGCTTTTATTATAGTTCGAGTTGATCTGTATATATTCACAAGTAAATACATTTGACAATTTATATGTTTACAGGCATCAGAGTTCCACAAGACGATAACCAGTAATCAACAGAAAATGATCAACGATCGCATTCCTGTTGTTGATTCAGGAAATCAACAGATTAAGACTAAAGAGAAAATTAAACAATCGGAAACGAGAGTATCCCAGTCGACGGGCAACGATGTAAAGTTAGCTGGTAAAGAAAAAGAGCAAAAGTCGTTGTCAGAAATGTTTAAACCAAGTGCAGGATCCTGGGAGTGCAGCTCTTGTTATACCAGGAATAACTCTGACCAGACAAAGTGTGTAGCTTGCGAGGGACCTTCTCCAAATGCAAAGTTTACCAGTGACTCCACAAAAGCTCCTTCCGACTGGGAATGTAAAAATTGCTACACAAAGAACTTCAGCAGCCATTCCAAATGCGAGTCTTGCAACGCTCCGTCGCCACTCGGTACAGTGATCCAGTCGCAGGCACCATCTTCTCAAGTACCTCTGTCTCAAATATTCAAGCAACCGGCTGGTTCCTGGGAGTGCAAGACTTGCTGTATCGTTAACAGCAGCTCTAATTCTTATTGCGCTGCCTGTGACACACCAAAAGACCCTCAGATGCCACCAAAACCAAAGGCTTTTGGTGGATTCAATTTGAGTACGACATCATCGACTGCCTCTGCATTTACTTTCGGCATTCCTGCATCGAATGGGAGTCAGCCTATCACTTTTGGAATCTCCAAGACTGAAGCTAAAGTTGGAGCTGACTCTAGCAAACCTATCATGATCCCCAGTGCCTTTGGTACTGGAAACAAACCTGATGATTCTGGAAGGAAATTCGTATTTGGAATCCCAAAAAAAGCGGACACTCCAACGGATCCGGAAGTTCCTTTCGTATTTGGATCTCCAGGAAAATCATTCGATTTTCACTTTCAAGCTAAATCACCAGTGAAATCTCCTGGAGGTGGAGAAACCAGCGAGGATGAGGTTACTGAGAGCGATGACGTATACTTCCCTCCAGTTATTCCTTTGCCAGATAAGGTTGACGTGAAGACTGGTGAAGAGAATGAGGAAGTTCTTTACAGCCATCGTGCAAAACTATTCAGATTTGACGACTCTGCCAAAGAGTGGAAGGAACGTGGTCTCGGAGACATTAAACTCTTAAAGCATAAGGAAACCGAGAAGCTGAGACTGGTTATGAGAAGAGATCAAGTGTTAAAGTTGTGCTTGAATCACTTTGTTCCTGAAAATCTTGAGCTAACGCCAAAAGACGATAAGACCTGGCTCTGGTACGCTGCTGACTTCAGCGAGGGCGAGATCGAGCGTGAGAAATTTGCTTGTCGATTCAAAACAGCGGAAATTGCTCAGGAGTTTAAGAAGACCGTCGATGAAGCTATCTCATCTGCAGGAACTCCTAATGCAAAAACAGCACAGAAGCCTAAAGTCAAATCTCCTGAGTCGATAAAGAAAAATCTCTTCAAAGATGACTCAACACCTACGGACGTGGAAATCGTGTACGAGTCAAAGGTAACCGCTGAAGAGAAGAGTGCTGCGCTGAAACTGAAACTACCTGAGAACTTCTATGCATATCTACAAAAAGAGGATTGTCCGGGTTGTATAGGATGTAGGGAACCACAAATTCCACTGTTCGCTGATGCGGCCAGAGAATCAACTTTGCCGGAAAAAATATCATCTCCATTTACTACTGGACAACTTTTCGGTTCTTCGACAACGCTCTTTGGGCAGTCGACTCCTCAGTCATTGGAAGCTAACCTGGAACGTACTAAAATCTCTACAACAACAGCGACAACTTCAGTAATAACTTCGACTTTCACTACTTTTGGCGATAAGTCATCGGGGAACCTTTTTGGTGGCAGTGCAACGACTGTCTCCACTTCCCCAGCAATGCTTTCGTTTGGGCACGGATTTACTTCAAGTCAGTCTGAACCATTCAAGCCAAATGTGACAACCAGTTCAGATAACTTACAAGCTGATGATTCTTCATCGGCTGCAACGATGCCTTTTAAGACAGATCTGTCTTCGCCTATGTTTGCTGAAAAAAATACTACGATCTACCCATTTGAGTCTACAGTTAATGATAGTACATCTGCATCAAGCATCACAACAACAACACCTCACACTGGATCAGTCCCCTTTACAACTAATGCGTTAGTCTCAACGACCCAATGTGATCCTGCTAAATCAAGCAGTGATTTGTTTAAAATTTGTAGTCCATCCAGTACAGGAACAACCGTGAATCAGCCTGCAGGTGCAACATTATTCGGAGAAACAACATTGTTTGGCAATTTAAGGACACCACAACAGGTTTTTGGATCATCAGCAACACCAGTATTTGGAGCCAGTAGTACAACCAATATTTTTGGCGGTAATACAGCTGCCTCCAATACCAAATCCATCTTTGATGGATCGAGTAAAACTAATCAGAGTGCAACTACAACCTCTGGAATTTTTGACAGTAGTCAAACGGCACAACCTAACACGCTTAGCAATATATTCGGAGGTGCAACTAAGACAACAGTAACATCAAATACGTCGACAAGCACGCCTTTCTTTGGTGGTGCAAACAAGACCTCTTTCTTTGAAGGTCCAAGTAAAATATTTGAAACACAAGTAACAAAAAGCAACATATTCGGTTATGGCACTCATTCGTTACCCAGTTTTAGTTCAGTCGCAGCTAAACCTAGTCCTATTTTCGGTGGACAAAGTACTGTCACTCCAGTCGCTAATACAACCTCTAGTACTACTTCTGTCTTTGATGGGACGTCTACGAACTTTGCCTCTAAACTGGCGTTTGGTAACGGTACTACTGCTACGACAACATCCCTCTTCGGCAGTACAATATCTACAGCTACAGTGAGCAGCACAGTTCCCGTAGAACAAATCAGTCAGGATGAGGTTAAGAAGGAAGCGAACTTGCCAAGCTTCTTGCAAGCTGACAATACTGTCACATTCTCAGCATTGGCAGCGAAATCTCCTGGAACTCCAGCCTTTAAGAGTGATCCAAACTTTTCGTTTGCCGGTGCCGGATCTTCTGTCTTTGGAGCGAAGACAACAGCTGCGACTACACCGACTGTAAAGCAGCCTCAGAGTAAAGGTAAAAAGTCTGAGAAGAAAGCTGATGACGAGGATGAGGAACAGGATGAAAATGATAACGAACAAGAACATGATCCACATTTTGAACCTATTATTCCTCTACCGGACGCCATTGAGGTTTACACCGGCGAAGAGGATGAAGAGAAAGGTACGTGGGCTTTATCCAGTATAAATGAAACCCCTTTTACTGAATTCTTTCTTTATAATTTATCTTACTTATACCTTCTGCAGTATTTTGCAGTCGAGCAAAGCTCTACAGGTATGCAACCGAGACTCGGGAATGGAAGGAACGTGGCGTAGGCGAGATGAAGGTCCTGTATCATCGACAAAAGGGAACATACCGACTCCTTTTGCGTCGAGAACAAGTCCACAAGACTGTATGCAATTTTCGTCTGACCTCGGATATTCAATTCAAACCATTATCGACTTCGAGAAACAGCTGGATCTGGGCCGGTATTAATTACGCCGACAGTAGCAACCCGACAGCTGAAAATCTGGCTGTGAAATTTAAGACGGATGAACTAGCGAAGCAGTTCAAGGATGTTGTCGATAGTGCTCAGGAAGATCTTCGAAGTAAAGAGCAGCAGTCAAAAGGCAATAAAGAGCGGACGGATGAGGAGAAGGAAGCGGATATTTGGCACGAGGATACCAATGAAGAAGATGACGATGATGAAGAGGATGAGGATGACTTTGAAGAGGATCCCTTCACAACCTTCAGAAAATCAGTCACCCTCCTCGCGCAAGACGAACGTAGTAAAGCTTGGAACGTCGTTGCCAGAGGAATGCTAAATCTTGCATACGATGGGGAAACTTCTAACTTTAGAATTATTATAAAATCTACTGAAACTGGGGACCTTGTCAGCAACACTCTTATCACTGTCGATAGTACCATGCAGGTAATTCTCATTGCTAGATAACAATTCGTGAAGCCATATGTTACACACGCACGCGGGGTCGTGACTGTGCTGCCTATGATTCCGAAAGAACGGCTGAACCGATCAGATCAAAATATACAATAAAAATCAAATTCCGGGTATAGAGAGAACAGTAACATTTGTATATGTTGTTTTTGAATTCGAAGCAGCATCTGAGAGGAAATAAGAAAATTTAATATTTTTTATATCTAAAAATTTGAACGAATTGAACCAATGATATTGAAAGTTATTGGAAAAGTACTTCAATGTACGTTGTCTAGTATTTCTGATTTGGAGACACCGTATGCCTGAAATGAACTTATCTTTTTTTGATGGTCAAGATATGAAGTACGACTGGATTGTTCATGCCACTCCTGTTTGTCTCTTAACGTTGTAATGTCATATAATTTCGTGTTTTTGTTTAGTACAGTTTTAATAATTTTACATTTCTTAATGTCTTCTTTTTTAAGGTGCACGAAAATATTTGCACGTGGTCAACTGTGGATTACGCACTGCAACCGTCTACAAGAAGAAACTTAAAACTTGTCTTTTCTTCAGAAAGGTCTGCACTGTCGATGCACCATCGTTTTGAACAGGTAAACTTATTACTGCCTTATAAAAGTCTATTCGTGGTCTCCGTGCAATTATTTTTTTTTTATTTCAGAGTCTTAAATACATACAAGAAAATGATAACGAGGAGCTGCAGCTGTCTGAATAATCGTGGTACTTTAACATGGTACTTTGACATAAATGTATGTCAAGGGGTTAAATCGATAAAAGTCTGTTATTTTTATTTTACTTTTAATCGAACCTAGGCAGTCTTTTACCTGTACACTATTGCTTGTTTATGAATCAATTTTTTCCTGATAAAAACCCAACATACAGTCACATCTCTACATTATAATTAATTCAAGAATATCCATCCTCTTTGTGGATGGTGGCGAGACATTCGTGTATACCCGTAATGAAATACCGTACAAAATAAATTTCATTTACTACGTAATACTTAAATATATTTATTGATTTTTTAATTGGTTTATTCTGTTGGAGTTTTTTTGTCTATCCGTTAATCATGAACGGACTTTAGTCCAAACGCATCACCTGAAGCTATCGCATACATTTCATTCCCATGGTAAACCATTTTCAAGTTGTTGCGTTTGGGTTGAACAGCCAGGCATATACAAAGGCATGATTTGGCCTTTCGAAATTATTTGACAGAGTTTTCACGCACTCTTCTGGAAATTAACTTTCTCCACAGTGGAAAATTGTTGAATCTGTGTGAAATTACAAAGACAAAGATAGGATATGACTTGTCTTGGAAAAGTTATTACGAAACTTACGATATATTAATGAGATCATTCAAATCAATTAATCAAATAATATATTAGTAATACCCTGAGACATCGTTGTTTTTCTCTGATGAGGTTTTGCCAATTCCATGTCAATTTTGTATGTTAAAAAATTAATACCTGTGATTTCTGCATGATCTTTTTCTACGCGGGTATTTTGCATTCTTGTTGCCGATTGATGACTGCGTTAAAAAGGATTAGCAAGAAATAAAGTATCGCAGGCAAAAATGCAAAGCGTATTTTTTTATGAAGATTGTTATGTGCTTAAAAAATTGTTGGATGGCAATAAAAGATAAAAGAATAAAATTACATTTCCTATATTACTGCTCGTTGACAGAAAGGTTTAGAAAACCGGCGGCGGGTCTGTAATCACTGTGGTGCTCGTTACTCGAAATGACGCAGGATATTTAATTTCCTAATGAATTTATTATATAATTTGAAATTTTCGAGGGAACAAAGAAGATGAAGATGATTAAGAAGTTAAAATGAAGAAGAAGGTGTCAGCCTCGAAACGTGTTTATTATCCTCATATGCCTCAACCTGTCACACGCCCTCTCAGCTACAAAACTTTCCTGACTCACGTCTTTTTTATTAGTTGAATCTTTCGTACAAAAATCATTGTATATATATGAATACATATAAGATATATTTATCGTTCGCCCTCTCCTAGTCTTCCACCTGCCAATTGGGAGAGGATAACTTCTACCTTTTTCGTGATTACAACTTGAAGAAGGGGCTTTTCTCTTTCCTATATAAGTGTACCGGCTTTCGCTTTCAGTCACAATTTCTTGTTTAGCACCCTAGTAGACTTCACAGTGAAGAACAAAATGTATCGAATTCTATCATTATCGTCTTTCCTGATGGTTCTGGCAATTGCCGGTTCTGTACAATTGCGTAAGTAAATATATTCGCATTGATACAATGCACAATCTATTTTAAATGGTCACTATAATATATATTAATATTGCAGCTTCAGAATTCAAAACATGCAGCAGAAGTGCTGGAAACGTGAACCAGTGTTTAGCAGATGCCATACAAGGTGGAATTGCTATTTTAACAAAGGGTATGTGTATTACGATTGGACAATAATCATTGTCCTTTAGACTAATTATTTTTAATAAATTTTCCTGCATAATATACATTGTATATTACATTTTTATTTATACTGTTCTCAGGCTCAAGGTCGCTAGGTGTACTTCCTATAGATCCTCTACTGGTGACGGAAATGCACATCAATCAAGGTTCTGGACCAGTCTCCATTAAGTTGAATTTTAAGGATCTTCTTATTCACGGAGTGAGCAATGCCAAGATCAACTCTGTAACGTAAGTTAAAAATAAAATCGAATGACAATCTTGCAATCGTCGTTGCCTCGTCAGAGGAAGGATACTGTATATGCATATACATAGCACGAAAGTTCCAGAAGCGTCCACATAACGTTGATGAGACGTGTGACCTTCGTTAATTATCTTATTTATGTCTATGGAACTTTTATACTGTATGGAATACTCCATGTTGATGGTGGAAAGATTCGATTATTAGGACTAGTTACTGGCACATCTCCTCATTGGAGGAGTCAGCCATAAGGAAAGGAAGGAAGGAAAGATTCGATTATAAAAATATGAACTGCAGTAAGGAAAGGTGTATAAAAAGTAGGATAAAAAGAAGTATTCAAAAGAGATAATGATGAAGACATGATGATATGGAACAAACACATTCATATTACTTGGCCTTGATCGAAACTGCTTGTATTAAACTGCTTCGATACCTTAACAACGTCGCCCTTCAAGGCTAACAGGATTATATATACGTGACAGGAACGCATCATATGGAAGTTAGTACGTTACTCTGACATTCATCTGTTCCTGGAATATTTGAATGGACCTTAGCACCGGTTTTTTTTAATATTCTTAAAAATATGAGGAAAAAGGAATTGATTCGCGATTCTTTTTGTGGATAGTCTCACTGACATTCTATCTTCCGTATTTGGTGTACTAATAAATAGTTTGAATTTTTTCGCCTGTCTTTAGGTTTGATGTGAATAATAAACTATGCAAGCTGATTCTCCATGCCTCCGTATATAGTCCCATTAATCTTGTGGCTCAATACAGCATCGATGGAAAAGTCCTCGTCCTGCCGATTTCCGGTCACGGCAATTGCAACATTAGCCTTGGTATACCTGCTAAATTATTCATATAAATTTGACTTTGGTTTGAAAGTCTACTATTGCTAAGTTAATACATTCTTACATTTTTTATATTTTTATCATTACAGCTAATCCTGAAGCCAAGGTGGAACTGACTGGCAAAGAAGTTACTAAGGATGGAGTGTCTTACGTTATCTTCACGGGTTTAAACTTTGATCTAAATCCACAACGCGTAGAAATGCACTTTGACAATCTTTTCAACGGCGACAAAACACTTGGTAAGCCGAAATTACATTTCGAAATAATATAATTAACAGTTTGGTAATTTCCAAAGAGAGTGACAATATGAAATCGTTTTGCAAGATGTCCTCTGGCTATACATATACATGCTTAAATTAGTGGCCATTAAAATACCACATTGTTACTAATTGTTTCAGGTGATAATATGAACCGATTCCTTAACGAGAATTGGAAGGAGGTTTATAGTGAACTCAAGAGCCCTATTGAGAAAGCTTTTGGCATCACGATTTTGGAAGTGACAAATCGCATATTCAGCAAAGTGCCTGCTGAGACTATCTTTCCTGCTTAGATAAGTAGACCTACGAGAATGTTATTTGGAAGAACGTTGCTGGAATTCATTATACCTGCAGTTGAAGTGTATTGATGCTTATTCATATGTACGAAAAATATAAATGTTAATGTTTAATGTTCCACTTTCCTTGAATTCCTTGTATTTAACAATAGACTGATATAGATTGAACTCGGTCGGTAATTTATATTTATTCTGTTTAAACGATTATGTGATAGATGGGGAATTTAGGTGATATCAGAAGCATGGCTGAACGTTAATCTTATCGAGCTTAAATTATGCGCTGGACTTTAAGATTACAAAGAAAAAAAATATTTAGGCAATATCTGATAAGCGGTCTCGTTCGAAGGGTTTCTCTGGGAACCAGCGATAAGTTACGGAGAACCTCTACCCACCAAGCTACACGTTCAGCTCGGCTACGACGGGATATGCATTATCGACGGAGACGATGACCACAAAATCATACTTCCAGAATCGTCGGTGCGATTTACCGCCTTGCTTTTGGTATCGCCTAAAACCGGAGCGTTGTGCATCTCCCCACTCATCTCTGCTGGTCATTTCTGTTTTCTATCCTGCTTATTTCATGTTAGCCACGTAATCTATGGAAAAAGCATAAGTGATCGTTTCACGTCGTTTTGCTTATACTGATACATCTCTGCTGATAGTTATTAGATAAAATCGGTATTTTTTTCAATTTAATGATGCGAGTAATGTCGTTGTTTAATTATGTGACTGAATCGATGGCGTAATTATGTTATTTTAAGATGTGGTTCTTTTATGTGCTAAGTTGGATTTCTCTAATTGTGCAGCTATGTTTTGGCACGATTTCCATAGGTAATTATAATAAATTGACTTGCATGCAAATATAAATATTGAAGGTTATTTCAAGTGATTTACCGATTGTCTAAAATATTTTGTTTGCTGAAAATATCATGTAGAAACAATTTTAATCTTAATAATTTCAGCTGCAGGCCTTTATTACATGGCAGAATTGGTAGAGGAATATACAGCAATATCCAAGAGAGTGATAAAGAGTTTTATACTTGTAAGTTGTGTTTATTTATACCGCTGTTTTTGATTTTTTCAAAGGTTTATATTTGACTTGTAACAATCTCATAACTTCTTGTTATTTCAGGGAACGTTTTTCATACATCTAGGTTTCCTACTCTTTGAAAATCTACCAACTACAATGGTAATATGTGGAGTAGCTGCACAAGTTGCACACTTATTCATTCTCCAAACCTTTCCCTATGTTTATATTACTTCACCAGCATTCATCGTGGCTATAATAATGCTAGTCATCAATCATTACTTAGCGTTTACTTACTTTGCCTCTGTGTATTATAACTTTTCTGAGGTACGTTATTATGATAACGAATGAATGATATATTATTTAGAATTGTTTAAAAAGTGATTTGATTTTAGGTAATGGCATATTTTACGCTATGCCTGTGGTTGGTTCCATTTGCACTGTTCGTTTCTCTATCAGCTAATGAAAATGTACTTCCCACAGTATCAGAGACTACACCACTTATAGGTAAGTACATAATTGGGATTAATAATAACAAATAATATATTAAAGAGACCTTTCCATCTTCTCTAACAGATAACAGTGATGTAGTAAGCAATTATTTCTCTAGAAGGCAGAAAAAATATGGTTTACTCTCTTTCTTCAATTACGCCAAGGAATCAATTCTTCCTCAACGCAATAAGAAGTCTTTTTAAGAATGCATTGGGAATTATACATCGAGTTGACGTACGCCTTTGGATTGCAAATTAAATCAATAATTTATCTATCCTTTTTATAAACCAGCGTCGTTAGGTAATTAAGAATACACAGAACTGCAAATATTAATTGTATCAAATAAGAAATTGAGGCAGGAGTGTACAGTAGCACGTGAAGTTCGTTTTTACTAGCAAGAAAATATTTGTGTAGAATATCAAAATGCCCTGTTTTTCAAATAAACGTCAAAAAATTCACCACTTATGAACATTCCTTAATCAAATATACTGCCCTTAATTAAAGGTGGACACTTCAATTTAATTATTCAGACTAATTAATTCATCCATCATTGGTCAAAGGTCATTCTTCGTACATCAGAGCTCGAACTAGAGAGTACTGATATGACTTTCAAAATAGTTTCACGAGAATAGGAATTGGGCTCATACGTAACGACGTAGTAAAAACTCCAAGAGACCGACAACCCGCCACACAGCAAATACTATATACTGCTTGGGGTATTGCTTGTCTTCTAAATAACATATTATAAATAATATAACTAAATAAGATATTTACAGAGCTTTACGTGTACGCCTAAAGATATGCAATCGAATATACATAAGTTTCTATACGGTAATCGTATAATGGCCCTTGATAAAATCATAATAAACAGTAGCAGGAACAAGTCAATTTAAGGAGGCTACAAACTATTGGATCCTATCGTTGGAGGAAAGATAATTATTTGTATTTCATTTAATTAGCTACACTTTCATGTAGAACTACAGACTAAAGAAAAACGCCTACCTAAGCGCAACCCGTCATACTAAAACTTTTAAATAGCATTCGTGTTTCAATAATTTTTAATACCGACGAGCAACGATTATCTTCAGAATATTTTTCTTCACCTAATGTACTATCTTATTTTTTTTAATTCAGTACCAATCAAGTATTTCTTGTATCTTCTTTCTAACGCTCATAACTGCAATGTACCTAAATTGTAGCTAATGTATTTCGAGTATCCTTAGTACGCTCGTGTTACCGCTAGATGGCAATACCATTTGTGGGTCCATACAATCGGATTATTGGTTATACCAAATGTATCTTCTAGACTTTAATACGGCTTTATCGAAATTACAGTGTACTACTACAGCGCGAGCAACAATGTGCCTATCACCGGACGCTTTCATTCGTAATTTGAGGTACCCCATATAAAATATTACTTATTTGACAATTAAATTCCCTGCGTCGTGTCTTGTGTATGACAGCTTGCCTGTCATCAGGCGCCTTTGGTCAGTATTACGCTGTACCTACCGAGTGATCAGTATTTATTAATAACGCGAGTGTTTTGCCAACGCAGTATTTAATGTGGTGACAGTGAATACAAAGTGACTTACCAACAGACTATTGACTGCTGAGACACGACAATTCCTCTTCATCCATTGATAAGAGACAAGACTCCCTGCAGTAACATGGTGAGTAAACGAAATTTCGAATGGTGTGTATTATTTTTGTTGGCAGGGGCTATATCCTTATGATCCACAATGTAAAAGAAACCCTCATCGAAAAACTGTTGTCGTAGTTCCATTACAGAAATGGTCTTGAAGATAAATGTAGGAAATTAAAGTGATATTTGTATAAAAAAATAATTTGTTACAATACTTAGCAAGAGTTTGCGAGCTTCGCTTTGCTCAGTTCTCATTGGTGATGAAAACGAATCCAGTATTTGTAGCGTCTTTCGGGTCTTTCGTTGAGAACGTGACGTTGTCTGACGTCAAAGAGACAAATGACACCCGTGACAGCATCTCGTTTCGTATTCATTTTCATCGTAGCTGAGATATTGTGATAAAAAATATAAAAAATGTTGGGCTCTATCGTGCTTTTGCCTCGAAAGGACCCCATTACGTAAGAAGATGGAGTAGATGGAAATTAATATAGTGCACAGCTTGATTAAGATACCAAACAATGATTTCTTGGCTAAGGTAATTTTTTTTTATTATTAATATTCAATATCTATTTCCGGTTTTATCTTTGAAACCTAATATATACTCCTCACTAAACTTAACCTAGCGTTACGCAAAAGTATACTCAGAGTTTTTGCCATGGGTGCGCGGTAATTGGCTCAGACATATTTGATAATGAAACAGCACAAGGGTATCCGGTATTTTTATGGCTCCTTTTCGCATAAATCAATTTTAGATGATGCTATAGTGAACTCCTCCTTTTGACTACAATGCATGTTTTCCCTGGTAGTTATAGTATAGTCTACTATAGTAGAAGCAGAGAGATACTAATTGACATAAAAAAAAAAGAATAGCCATAGTTGTAGTTGTAGTATACAGATAATTAATGGCCGAGGATTTTTCCTAACGAGTTAAATTAGATTCTCACCTATGGTCCAGCAAATAATGCAGCATCCGCATGATATCTACGTAGTATTCCTATAAGAATGTATATATATGGACCTTCCGCTTTTCACTGAGTCCTACAGGATCCATGTTGATGGTAGCTCCTCCAATCCTCTGCCAAAAAAAAGGGGCAGAATGATGAGGGATTGCGGGAGGTACCGACAGATACGCCGGATTAAAACTATCGATTTTGGATAATATGTTTTTTAATCGTACCCCGCCGACGATCTGGCCTCGTCACATTTTTCCCAACGTCGAGGAGCCGTCATCCGGTATATACTTAGTATCAATCATTATCCGCTAGCATCATGAACCCTTATAGAGCCTCCTTGATTTTGTTAAAGATTTGTTCCATTAGGCGCTTCCGTACGGAAGCAGTATCAGTGGACAGTGCTGTTTAATAAAAATATAAAAATTATAATTAATTATTGACAAATGATATTTTTAAAATTCAAATCTCGCTTACCTACAAAATCACCATATTTTATTTACATATAATTTTTGTTATTTCTTATATACTCGCTGTGAGTGCAAGAGAGAGGCTCTAACGGGTAGTTACGTGCGTAAGAGAAGGACAGCCCGATATTGCGTATAAAAATTGCTCATTCAATTCTCAGTGGTTAATCAATAATCAGTAGTCGATAGCCACTGTTGATTCGATCTCTGATAATGGTTAGAGCCTAGAAAGACACCCTTACACGTTCCACCCTTATTTCTTGTAGACGGCGCCCGAGGTACGAGCGGTTAACCGGATAGAGAGAGAGAGAGAAGGATTTTAATAAATTTTCTCAAGTAGTACGGAGATGTATAACAGAGCGAGAGAGAGACTATACGAGAGGAAGTTAGAGATACCAAAGAGAGAGCACGAGTAGGAGAGAGCACACACGTTGAATTTTACGAGAGCAAACGTATACCGAGTAGACGGGACGTTTAATAAAGGCGTGGGTGTGCTAGGAGGTTTTACGCGACGAGGGTGTACCCGGGGGTGTACTAGGGGTGCTAGTTAGCACTACCCTCGGCGCCGTCGACGTCGACGTCGCCGTCTGGACGCCCGCTCCTCCTTCTCCTCCATCTCTTCTCTCATCACTTCTCTCCTTCCTCACTTCGCTCTCTTGCTCCTCTTCCTCCAATTCTTTGCGTCTAGGCATGCGTGTGCCTACATCAGGACGACGTACTCCTCGTATGGTGGAAGCCGATAGATGGGGTTTAAGGTGTCTCTTTCTTTTTGTTTTCTTTCCTTTGAAAATAGAACGTAAGTAACTGATGTACTGCAAGGGATCCTGACATTGGGACACTCCTTTCCGACGTGCATTTCCTTTCCAGGAAGTACCTCCATTAACGGCTTGCTTCCTCCTGAGCCCTCACTGGCTTACGTGGACACCTTTAACTGGCCCTTTAAGACACTCGCCATGTCACTTAGACTTCACTGTGGATCGATTATCGTTTACCTTGTAAATTCTGTTTCTTTGCCTTCCAATCACTTCTCGGTTGATCCTTCTTGGTCCTTGCTCATGATCATTTCATCCTACTTGGATTTATTTCGCCTTGAAGGCACACTGGGCCCTTGGCCGTTTGGCAATATTTAGCGAGCAGTAAAGCCTTAATGAAAAGGGCCTCGAATCCTGGCTCATAAAATATCTTATTGGCTGTGCACGAATTTGCTCGACCTTCATCCTTCTTCCTGGGGGATGAACTCTACAGGGCTGCGGGCTTGTACTGAGTCCTAGGGTGACTTTTTATGGACTCTGAGATACTTGCCGGATGAAGTTGATGATCCTGAAAACACCGGGGGAAACAATAACTGATGAAGGGTTAGCCGGATGGCACAAGTGTATACTGAGTGTATATTGATGATTATCTGTTGTTTGCGGCTTTTTTTTTCATACTCAAATCTACATCGACTACATCTCAATGGAATTGACTTTTTATGTTAAATAACAAACTCGATTTACGTTGTAGCACCTTTTAGACTGTCATTAAATTTACCCCCATTCATTTTTTAAATAGAAAATTAAACTTTTCCTGTATTTTGCATAAGACATCGCTACTGGGTACGTTGATTTATATCGAAAAATTAAATTCTTATACCAAATTTTTGGACCGTCTTAAACGTGCTACGGTTTCGTGAGGCTGAAAAACGTCTTCTTACATTTTAAATATCATCATTGTGCGACGTTATTGTGGGACGTTACTTCTTTCGTCTCTATGACCTTAAATAATTTATATGCATACGTAGTACACATTGTATGTATGTATCGATAAGAACGAAAGGGTTAATGGATATTCCGAGTATAGAATACGTGCATGAATAAGAAATTTAATATCCTAAGAATATGGGCAGATATCGTCAATCTACCCTCAGTCAGTACAACATGAGAATTGCACCTAGAATATTCTAGGAATATTAAGTATAGTCAGTCCGCGAGTTACACGTGGTTTTCTGACAGATAGAAAACAATGAGGTCTTCAGTAAATCGCACGTGGCTCTCCGTACAATTTGTATTACAAAGTATATACGTGTATGATTTTGCACATAAATATATTTGACTTTTCTATTTTGGTACGTATTTCCGTGACGTTATGGAAAGCTACGTTTAAATTTGCTTAGAATTGGATTTTTTATAAGCTGTCAAAAAAAAAACACATTGAACTCGTGAACCGACTATATGTATTTAGGAAATTCAGTATAAGTCGAGCATATACAGAAAATCCCGTGTGCTATATAAGTGTCATACTTTATGTACCTTAGTGAAAGGGTGTCACTTAAGGGATGAATTAATTTGAAGTACAAGGTAGACTGTCCAGCAGCAATAACGCATTTATCACACTCGAAGCTTTCGGATCGTCGATATACGCATAACAAATATTTTGCCTGATAATGGCTGCTTGTTTGTGTCCAGAACCCCATAGTAATTATGGGCTTGCTAATCGTAGTGGAATACATGGGATGAGTGAAGCATTATCTATTTCCAATCCTGACGTTCCTAATACCATCCTGAATAGGCGCTCCCACGTGGAATACCAGAGAGGACCGATGGCGTATCTGTTGGCATTACAAAATTGAGGTGAGAGAAAAGAGTTGCGACGCTCGAAGAAAGTTCTTGGTTAAGGTTGAAAGTGGAACGTATACCTAGGGAGGATTCAACAGCCAGCACTCTATGTCTTGTTTGAATGCGCAGGAACGATGTTGGCTCCTTGAGTCACTTCTAGGTTAGGTTAGTAATTTGTGGATTACACCGCTAGAGGGAAAACCAGCCAAGAGTTTCCCCGACTTATAGTCTCCGCTCTCATCTGTAATTTTCTGAGGCTCATCCCCCTTTTCGTCCGTGGCCAGAAGATTCTCAATTTTCTGTCTCCCTCCGTCTCTCATAACCATCACGATACACCCCCTAATCCTTGACGTTTTCATTTCCAGCTCTGAAAATCCTGGCAACTTTTTCATTTGGACATTCTGTAACCTGTTATTGCATCACGGGGACCAGACACTTTCAGCCGTTGATTGGAAATTGCACCATAGAAAGTCTACAAGTATAGGGGTAGAACGAGTGCGAGGGGGTAGTATTACATATACCTCGTGAGAAAAATATAAAAGAAAGCCAGGAGCAAGGAACTGGACTTTGGGTGACCGTGCAGAGGCGTCCCGTAGGCTCCGGGGTCTATGGTGTTTCAGGGTAAATAGATCGCATTTAGGGGCACTCAGCTCTCAGCGAGAGGTCATTTGACGAGGGGTGGGAAAATCCACGGGGTGCATAGTGCACCCTGCGCGATAGCTTTCGATACGGGAATGGCGGCTATTGATTTTTTTTATTAATGCCGATCGCCAACAGAAATGGAGGCAATCTTTGTTGAGAGAAAAGGAAGGAGAAGTTGCGAACGATAAAGTAAAGGGCAGGTCAGGGGTCATTGGGTTTTTTAAGGATGAACTAGCTATGGGCACGAGATTGACATTCAGGTCTGACAGGGTGACGCTCCTCGACGTTCTGGGCGATGGGGAAATTGAAAAATAAGGTTAATTTACCGAATACCCGTACGAGTCGATGGGAGGTCTCAGCAAATTATCCAGGAACACCCGATACTCTCATCAATTACCGCTCTTGCCCCGACAATTGCTACCCTCTCAGAATCCTCGAATGTCCTTAGAATCGCCTCCCGGTCCATGCTTCAGCATCCCTTGGGACGTCTTCATATCTCATGACGAAGTCTCCTCCTTATGGGTTCCAGAGCTGGAAAAGTATAAGGGCGTAGATGTGAAAACTAGTGCAGTCGGAGTATATAAATCCTGCTAGTCCTGTCGAACTAGCATCCTGCTGGACGCTGGACATTTCTCATCCTTGTCTCACGAGAAAAATATTCCCTTATCCTACTAACGAGCATCAATGATGAACGAGCATTGATGATGGCATCGTCAATGTCGTTACTTGCACTGTGATATCCCCCACAGACTTTGATATCCTCTTAATCTTCTACAATAACCCCCGGGTTATTATTTTTATATAAAAATAAGACGTTTGCAACTTTGTTTAATAACTGAAAGTAAAATATCAGTCTGTCAAATCGAAGTCAGAAGTAAATTTATCTCATAATAAAATTGCTGGTGGGAATATGTTACAAAGGGGTGAGAATATTCCAAGCGTGTCCACTCCTCTACCTCTCCCCTTTCCTCTGTCTGCATATCCCACAATTTTCCCTAGACACACTCTCTCTCTCTCTCTCGACGAGAGAGTAAGCTTTGCTTGGTTTGCTGTAGGTAGATTGGGAGAGAGGTCGCGCGCGGCGCGGCGTCCCACTACACGAGAAACTCGTTGCTATTGATTGCAACCCCGAGTCTCAACCCTCTCTAGGTATATAGTTGCCTCTCTCCGGGCGCCATTCGTGGGACACGCATGTCCCTTTGGCTTATACACGCGTTGAGAAATGCACGTACCAGGGCTTACTATAGATATGTTATAGATTAGCCAATATAATTCAAAAGAGATTCCTATGTGTGTTCAAACTTGGCACCGTATACCTGAAGGGAGTGCAGGGATGTAGACTCAGAGGGATACTGACACCTGTCGAGGTGTGTACGATCGTATATGCTCATACGTGCGCTTCCATGTCCTCATACGTATACGGAAAGACTGGAGAGCGTTACGTGTGAGATCCACGCAGTCCTGTATAACAGAGAAACATTGGTTATGAACTGTAGAGACAGAGACGAATCATATGGGGGTAGTATACGTACCTAGCAAGTGTTACTGACCTACTTTACGTGCAACCTCTTCTGTCCTTCTCTATGCCCACCCCTTCCCAATGTCAGTCTCATCCGTTCACTTGCCAAGCCATTTTAACACCCTTTACCGCCTGTAAACTACCCTCTCTCCTTTTCGTCTCGCAGGATAGATCCCATGGCGGATTTCATCCCCCTTTTATATTATGCTGGCCTACGCCTCACGTAATCCGATTGGATCGTTTATGTTGCCAGTGAAATTATTACGCATTTTACACACCTCCTCATGCTCCTTATGCTAATGTCAAAACATCCCCTAATGATCTCTACTGATATAAACTGTGCGTACGTATCGGTTGAGCCCTCTTTTCTTGTACGTGGGGTCAGGCTTTGCACAATTAAATTGGCAGTACAAGAATTTGTGTAATTTGAAATACACTGAGTCGGTATTAATTTTTTTCCTTCTTCCATCTCTTTCTCTCTCCTTGAGTTTTGCCTGTATTGACTTTAGGAATTCGTGTAATGTATTGCTCCGGTCAACAGGGAGTTTCTGGCCTCTGGTCAAATAAATGGATCTTCCCTCTTTCTCGCACGTTCAATTGCCGTGGATAGTATTTAGGCAAATGGTCCTACCTAGAAAATTATACGAAGAAAAATATTGAGGTCTACCAATGTCTGGAATATTGGAATAGTTCAGTAAGGGTGGGACCGGTTATAACTGTATAAAAGCACTTGCGCAATGGTAGACTAAGGGGGTAGGTGGTTGAATTAGAGAGTAAATTAAGGGCAATCCGAAGGTAATTGTCGGGGGTTTACTCAGTGGCCGCCTTGGAGGAAGTCCCTATTGGTTGGGGGTTGCTTCTTCTCCTTGCTTACTTCCTTCCTTCCTTCCTTCCTTACTTCCTTACTTACTTACTTACTTACTTCCTTACCCACGAGAAATTGTTGTCCGTAGGACAGACTAGTCTCTCCTTCCTTTATTAATCCTCTTGCCTTCCGCTCTCTCCTTTCTCTCTCTGACTGCATCTAAATCTTCTAGTCTCTACTCCAGTCCAGACACTCTCTGAGCTCCACTACTCTTCCTTTGGATAAAGACGGTCGAACCTGGCTCGTTGGGCTTTCCGGTAGAAACGGGCTTGGAGGAGCATCTGTTGCTCTCAGTGAGCGCTGCCAACAAGTGGCATCCAGCCACATCCAGCCAAAATTTAAGGGGGTTGAGAAAAGTGCGCGTGCATCCTCCCTCTCTCTCTCTCTCTCTCTCTCTCTCTCTCTCTCTCTCTCTCTCTCTCTCTCTCTCTCTCTCTCTCGCCCACATTCTGCAACATGTCCAGGCAAATTTAGCGCAAAATCGATCGTTACAAATTTCAAAATTAAATTCTTACACATACAGGATTACTCAAAAGTATTGCATCATCCGAAGGTGGTTCTACCTGTATAAATCAAATGCACGTGATAACTTCAGTCAATACGATGCTGCTGACTAACCTTACATACCCTACTGGGTTAGGTTCCTACTTGGTCCTTGAAGTGGACTCAAAAATGTAGATCTCTTCATCCAATGGACCCTTTTGATATCTTTGGATTATCACAGGGATTTCCTAAGGGATATCTTTTCCCTCTTGTACCTTATCGTCTCTACATTCATTTTGATTCCTTTATAGAGGTGCCGCACGCTACTCATCAAGGCTGAATAAATGTCAGGCTGAAGGTGCTGGGGACTCGGTAGGAATCCAAAGGCAAAAACCCAAGGAAATCTCATGCACTGACAATCAGTACCCATAGTCTGCGACAGTGTGAAATAATCATAGAGCGAGGTGCTCATTCGGGGTGGTATTTAGGGCTGACAGTGAGGGTGGAAGTGCGAGTCGGAGTGGGAGGAAAGATCTGTGAGTGTTGGCGAGTGTGTTTCAGAGGGATGGTATTCAAATATAAGTATACGTTTACATTGCAGTATCCTATGTATATATACGTGAGGTAGTATGTAGATGAAAAGTATATAGGTCCACGTCTACAGCGTAAGGGCTGCCGCCGAATAGGGGATGAACGTAAGGGAGGTATACATACATAGATGCTGCCGTTGTATAGAGTAAACGGGGTTGCGCAGGCGTTATTTCCCGGTACCCGCCGGCCATCTTGTGCATCACGGAAATCCCCCTAGTGGGGGTAGAATATAACCGTTCTCGGTATCGAACACCGCTTCAGTACGAAGGCAAGATGGGGTGACTGCATCTTCAGAGTTTTAAGGGAGCGCTTCATCGCCATCGAAACCTTCATCGAGAGCATCGCTTCTCTACACGAACAGAAACGTGACACGGCTCCATTGGCTCTTACTACCACTCAGGATATCTCGCGAAAAATTCTATTTAAAAACGCGACCATCGCTACACACCATAAGATTATCACTGGATCGCTGTTGAATGTCACTATTTTCTCTTTATACTTTTTTACCTTAGATTCCTTCTCGTCACTGTCCTTCCTCGACTACCTTGATTCTGTAGTACCTATATGATTTGTAATTAGTCACACTGCATGCTGCACTCTCACATCGGATCTAGTAGCACTGCTGCTGTACACCTGTTGCACATTTAATTTCCTTAGAAAATTCCCTAGAATAATGACGCTGTGACGTGTGACGTAACTACGACAAACTCTTACGTCACTGAGTTCGCTTCTGACAAGCAAGAGGTATCGATCGATTCTTCCTTCCGTCTTATTTCCTTAACTCTCATCCTTCATTCGTTTTAACCTGAACTTCGCGAGAGCGTGAAAATCCCCGAAGCATCATTTTTCTTTCCCCTAGACTTGTGACTGCACGTAGAGATCTTATTTCGACCAATTTGAAATACCGTATAGTGTATATGTATGCTGTAATAATTTTTTAGTACAAATATTCTTAAATGATTATTGTGATACTTAGTAAATTAATTTTGTGAAGTAAGATTGTGCAGATTCATTTTAAATGGACTTGTCATTGATCAATACAACGGAGACATTTCAAAGAGACTAGAAGTTGACGCGCGCAGTACCGTAGTTGGCTCTAGTGGGAACGTGTGTAGAAATTCCCTAGGGTTTGTTGACACCTGTTGCGCGTTAATTCGACGCGAAAGAAAACGTGGGCGCTTCTTCTTTTACGTTAAAATTTTTATTACATTTAAACAATCCGCGACTTTACGTGCAAAGTCTACCTGTTGCACCAGGTTAATTCGATGAAAGATTCACGAGGAGTCAGCTCGGTCGAAGCGGAACCTTTTGTGCGACCTAATTCAATGTGAAGATAACTGGACAAAAAAGCGACTACATTGCCTCTTGGAACTGATGCAGATTACGAACTGTTTACGATGGGAGGAGCCATGGAAGAATTTGCTGACTGGGTAAGTCATTCGAAATCTATTGTGAAGTTATTTCTCTTGCTAAGTGTGCCATCTGTCTAATGCATTTTGAGGTTATACTGCCATTGTGGCTTAATAACTTACAAGCACTAGAATCGATTATGGCGGTTTTAGTCGTTTCACGAAGTAAAAGATATGGTTGCATTAGTCACTGATCGTCGGTACCCCTCTTAATGGTTTAGCCGGGAAATTCATTAGATGATTGTCTAATTAAGTTAATCGACGGGAAGCTATTCGATCCGGGGCGTCTTGCGCCGATAAAATTCACTTTATGCCAGGCCGTTACGGAACACACTAAAGCCACTCAGAATTACTGAATTACTACTTTGCGGAGTATTCACTCCTCTATATTGTGCAGAGCAAGGAGTTGAGACAGTGGTAGAGTTAAAAGACGAGTTGCACGGTCAATCTACGTTCAATAGTTATTCCCCTGTGTAGGGAATTACAGAAGAATTTTACAACATCCCCTTGCAACGCCGTTTGAAAATCATGGGAATCTTGAACGGATCCTAAATACGTATATGCTAGATTCACGGGATGAAATTCTCAAAGGATTAACTGTTTATGGATATTAGTGTTACGCTGTGCAATTCGACGGGATAATAACGAAACGATGGCATACAAACGAAGATGACTTTGTTATAGCTCTGAAAAGGGAAGACACGAAAATTAATTGACAGCGTAAGATTTTAATTCGAAACAAATTGGCTTGTTATGGCTCGTACAGTCGTAATGTACGTGAATGTATAAATGAAAATCAGATGTAGCGTCTAGTAATTTGATTCCATTATATAATTTCAATTTAAAATTTAAAATTAATGAATAGACTCGAAAAAAGGCATTTGCAATTTATTTATTTTTTTTAACATATAACCAAACCTAACATACATATTAGGTCCTCCATTTTTTTTCTTCACAATTGTTCAAAGCATTGTTACAAATCTGGCATTTTAATAAAAAATACTTAGCATTGCATTCTTGTTCTCTGAAGCACTCTTACTGTAGTATATTACTGGCATTTTCTATCCAGCTTCTTGCCCCTCCAATTGTGTAAGTAATCAGACGACCCTCTATTTAAGCTAACTCCTTTTCAGAGTCCATACTGTATTAGCGTTGAATGGATCGGTCGGATGGCCAATAAAAGTTGATGGAAGTTTCGGAAACGAGGTTTACGAGTTAGCACGTATGAAGCAATATACATCGTAAGTATCAAAAGGACCGAAATAACTATATATTTTTTTTCCTTTTCGTGTATTATTAGTAAGAAAATGTAACCTCGCAAGAAAATATATATATGTATGTTGTAGCCGAAGCAGCTAGTAGATTTGCGCTAGATGGAAGATAAATAAAATAAGACGATGGACGATTCGCATTAGACCCGTGTGCTGCCGCCTCCCCTCCCCTCCCCACCCCTCCTTCGCCAACCCCTCTTCATCCTCAAGTACACAAGATTATTCCGACAGATTCAAACTACTTTCAAACAAGACTCGAACTCAATTCATTCGGAATTCAAATTACAACAGGCGAGGGGAGGTTTGTGGCCTGTCGAGCAATCGACCCTCTGCAACCCTTTACATCCCTCCAGCACTAGAGACGCGACAGAATTCATCCCCTCAGCCGGTCCTGGTTGGTATGTGTCCTCCGTTCCCCTTCCTCTACATTTTCATGCCCATCCCTTGTATTACGTCACCCCTCCCACATCCCTCTCTCATGGGTTTGCAGTCCTAACCCTCTGAACCTGGAGCCACCAGGATATTCATGTGTTCGCGCTCGCTAAAATTCCCCTGCACAGGAACCTGAAGTAATGAAATTAATGGGTCCAGCAGACAACCAGTGAATTCTCCTGCCCAAGAGAGTCAGCAGTGCCACTGTCCACCGTGCAAGAGTTGATGGTATTATTAGTAGAATCAATAGGATGCGACACCATTAAATAAAGTAAATAGAAGAAATGAAATAATTATACTACAAAATTGGAAGCGCCTAAGGGATGAATTGTTAGTTTGCGTTGGTAGAGAGAGAGGGGGGGGGGAGAGAGAGAGAGAGAGAGAGAGAGAGAGAGAGAGAGA